GGCTACCGCCATGAGACTGTCAACCACGCCAAGGAGTTCAAGACTGCGGCTGGTGTTCATACAAACACCATCGAAGGTAAAGTACTACATATAATCACGATCTTGTTACTATATGGTAATAATTGGTCATATGATTTAGGAACCTGGAATGGCATCAAGTCCATTATTAAGGCCCGCCACAGAACAGCTCCGATCATGAAGTATCGTCTTGCCGAGTTCATTTTCCGTCGCAAGCATGCTGGGGACCTCTGGGGTGGCATTATCAAGGCATTAAAAGAAGTATCCTTTGACAAGGTTACTTCTTCGGATGATATAGATGAAGAATTCATCTATACAGAGGTCAAACGGGAACGTAGCGATTTGGATCACGATGATTCGGAGTTCAATGGTAAGTGAATTGACTTGAAAATCTACAATGATTAGCTAAGTCAATGATTAGATAATACGCAATGGGAAACCGATACCGAGGATGATGATGACACATCAGGTGAATACACAGCTGACTCTCATAGAAAACGCCCTAGAGGCCAATAAACAAAGTCCATAGACATTTATTTGTTTTACTAAGTCCACTGCAGTCACGTTAGAAGCAGTAATGGAATAGATTAAAAGTTGCTGTATATATGATTGATTAAAAAAGAAAGGGTCATAGCTCGTAATCTAGTGGTCGGCGGAGTTTCGGGGTTGCACCAGCGTATTTGGAGCACCTCGAAGAACATAGTAGGTAATCATAGCCTCGTTACGGCAACATTTTTCCCCACTTGGCAGAAGTAGGCTCTCGACTTAGTAAAAATCCACCCAATTTGTGTAGTTTTTCCCTCATAACATGGGCGCATTTGATTCGATTAAGTTCGGGTTTTTTTTCCCAGATTTCGTATTGCGGCGTCCATATGTGACCAAATTTGGAGGAACATCGGAGTACGTTTTTGACATCGTATGCCGATATGGTCAATTCAGTGAAAAGGAGACGTTTTTATTTCGGCGATTTCTTGCCAATCAGAGGTCGGAGATACAAATGGTTACCAGCAGTGGATTGTCGAAGTCCGAATGTATATATGGGTAAGGTTTTATGAAGAACAAGCGACATTCACAACTTTTTGCAGTGCGTAGAAATGTGGTCCCCTATCTTTTCATTCAACCTACAGCTGCTTGATCCATCTTATCCGAGAGCCTCTTGTAGTTGGTAATCAAACGTTCATACAACGCACCAGTCGACGATGCTGGAACCATAAACGTCATTTCTTTTGCAACAGCAAGGGCTGCATCCACATTCTTTGTACAAAGTAACGAATCGACATGGCGTCCCATGCGCCTCAAGAGTTCGTCATTGCCCATCAGAAAATCGCCAACTCCTGGATCTCGGTACCGATTCCTAATGAGGTCCGCCATTACTGAACAGGTGTTGTCGTTGCCGCTGTTGATGCGTTGCATGTTGAATGTCAAAGAGATCGGAAGACAAAGAAAGGCAATAGGGGGTTGTAGGAGAAGAGGAAATGTCCCATGATTGATGATGGAATTGGGAGGTGGTGCTCTTGTGTCACGTCAATCTGCATGACTCTAAACCTGGTTCCTTTGTGGATGACATGCCATCAATGGAGGCAACGTTAGCAATCTCATTATGGAAAATGTATCCAATCACCCGTTTTAGCCTTTATACTGCACCCATTGCATTCTCTTACCGCGTATTGTTTATACCCCAATAAATCTAAATTGATACCAAATATGCCAGCAAGGGCTTCACATTGTACGCAAGCATAACGTTACAGGGTGCATCATTAGTGCAATGTGGATAGTAAATAGACCTTTTGGATTACATAAAGTACTATAAGAGCTACAGCGTTGCTCATCCATATATCGATTTATTCGTGCAAGGACATGTTGTGTACAGAATGGGAATTATCTCCACATGTGATGGGGCTCTACTCTTTTCATATTTGGAAACTGCTTGGAAAGAATATCGATCACCGAATTGTCCAGCCCCTTGAATGGAATTTGTAATTGGTCAAGCTGTACCAAGTCAAGTAGTGAAAGTGCAGCCATTGGTGATAGGTGATCCGCATCTATGACCAGTGACTTGAGAGAGTGCGCATCTTGTAAATGACCAAATACAGGATCTTCAACCTGCCATTCCACAATAGTGATTTTGAGTGGCTTTAGCTTCATTGCGTTGTTGGTATAAATCAAGTCGATGATCAAAGCCATTGGTGAATAAAGCGACAATGCGAGATGCAGCTCCTCCAATAATTCCAGTTGTGTGATGAGTGGTAAAAGTTCATTGGCGCATTCCTCGGACCATAGTGATATTGACAGCAATCGTAATGTTGAAGAAGTACCCTTTTCAATATGCGTATTGAGGAAACGTTTCAAAGCGTCCAAGTCTTGGTGGTATTCATCCATGATCACACTTGCGTTGATAAGTCGGGTGCATAATGCCATCAAGTCAATCGGTTCTGGAGCATCCCACATGAACAAAGGATAACCGGATTGTATCGTCTCAATGCTTGGTGAACGGCGAATAGTAACGAGAAAGAGATCAAAGTAAAGCTCATCAATATCGCGATAGTAGGCTGAATCACACGAAAAGTGAATCAAATGCGGGAACGTTGTCTCCTCGGGCAGAGGCATCACTTCATGATAATAGCGGAAGATATTCTCGCTGATATGTACATGTCTCAACGTCTTGGATGCTTGTAGCAGGTTTTCAATCACGTAAGTCAGATCATCATCATCGTATTTGCCATCGAAAGAGATTTCCTGAATCCCTTGATCCAAGCTTGTATCCCACTCATATGGCCATCCGGTCACGATATCAAGGGGTGCCTTGTACTTGAGACACTTTAGTGATGGACAATAGCCGCCGACTCGATTCAGGTAGTTGACATCAAGGACATCCTGGATGGAGAGAATCACGAGACCAGGCAACTTTATAAGAAGTTCATCGATTTCATCTTCCTCGTCTCGTAATTGCAAGATTCGTAGCTGGTGATGTTGTTTTGCAGTTCCACCATTCAACACGCACCCACTCCACGTCAAGCTCACGAGGTTTGGGCATGGCTCCATGACTTCATCAAGATTGTAACTGTGCCTTACAGAGGTACACACACCACGCGCACATGCTGCATTATAGCGATAATAACAAGATGTCCTGTGGCGAGGTATATCTAATGCAGCAACTATGTATGAGCAACGCGTGTGCTGAAAAGAATAAAAGTAAACTTACAAATGCAGAGATGTTTCAAGTTGACGAGATGTATCCCAAGTAGTTGTGAAAATGATATGACATTGCCACGAATCTTCATTGTTCGAATACGAGAAGCAGATGCTGATGTCGTTTTCTGATGGCCAAGTAGCTTCGTTGCTGGGAGCTTACATGACAAGAACGGCGTAGATTCGAGAATTGTTTTGCGCCAATACTTTGACACATATAGAATCGTTGGTGTCGTATCATCTTCCACGTTGGAAATCGATCCCCAAAGGTAATCAACAATATGGATCACAATATCAAAAGGAAGTCTGCTGATGAAATCGATCTTCGTTATGCTGTCGCATAGTGTTGCCATTGGTGCTGCTGCTTCATCCACCTTATCCAAGAGCCTCTTGAAGTTGATAACCAAACGTTCATACAACGCACCAGTCGACGATGCTGCAACCATAAACGTCATTTCTTTTGCAACAGCAAGGGCTTCATCCACATTCTTTGTACAAAGTAACGATTCTACGTGGCGCCCCATGCGTCTCAAGAGCTCGTCATTGCCCATCAGAGAATCGCCAACTCCTGGATCTTGGTACCGATTCCTAATGAGGTCCTCCATTGCTGAACGAGCGTTGTCATTGTCGCTGTTGTTGCGTTCCATGTTGAAATTTAAAGAGCTGGGATAACAAACGAAGTCAAACGGGGTCAAGCAGCGGTTGTGGGAGAAGAAGAAACGTCCTTAGATGGATGATGGAGACGCTCTTGTACCACATCCATCTGCATGACTCAAATCTGAGTTCTTCTGTGAATGACATGCCTTTAATGGAGACAAGGTTAATAATCTCATTATGGAAAACGTATCCAAACACCCGTTTTAGCCTATTATTTTTAACTCTTTGTATTGCATTGCCTTGAAGGCTTCATAATAAAGGTATATTTATTAATGCAATGTCATGTTGTGGGATGAAATGGGCAATTATTGCCATATGTGGCGAGGCTCTAACTCTTTCAGGTTGGGAAACTGCTTGCGAAGAATATCAATGACCACACCATCCACGCCCTCGAATGGAATTTGCAAATGAGTGAGCTGGGTCAGCTTTCGCAACGAAAGTGCAGCCATTGTACGTAGATGATCCGCATCGATAATCAGTGATTTGAGAGTGCGTGCATGTTGTAAACGATCAAAGAAAGTATCTTCGACGTGCCATCCCACAACGCTGATTTTGAGGTGCTTTACTTTCATCGCATTGTTGGTAGCAATCGTGTCCATAATCATGGGCATTGGTGAATTAGGCGACAAAGCGAGATGCAGCTCCTCCAATAATGCCAATTGTGTGATGAGCGGTAAAAGTACGTAGGCGCATTCCTCGGTCCATAGTGAGATTTCCAGTGATCGTAATGTGGAAGAATTTCCCCTTTGTATATGCGTGTTGAGGAATCGTTTCAAAGCCTCCACGTCTTGGTGGTCTTCATCCATTATCACGTTCGCCTCAACAAGCCGTGTGCAAGATGCCATACAGTCAACTGGTTCTGGCTCATACCACTTTACAGAAGATTGAAGCGATTTGATCCTCTCAAGGCAAGGTGATCGACGAAGAACATCGAGAAAAAGATCAAGTTCATCATCACGGTATTCTGGATCACATGTCAAATGGATCAAATGCGGGAACGTTGTGTCGTGCGGCAGGAACATCGGATCATGGCGATCGCCATAGATATTCTCGCCAATATGTAGATGTTTCAACGTTTTGGATACGTGCACTAGGGGGTCAATGACGTGCTCCGTACGACGATTATGGGGTTGTTCATAGAACGAAAGATCCTGAATGCCTTGTTGCAAGCCCGTATCCCATTCGTATGGCCATTCGATCAAATCATCATGGGCTGCGTTGTACTTTAGACACTTTAGCGATGGGCAATAGTTGCTGACTCGATTGAAATAGTCGACATTACGGATACCCCGGATCGAGAGAACCACGAGACAAGGTAACTTTACAAGAAGTTCATCGATTTCATCTTCGTCATCTGGTAATTGCAATACGCGTAGCTGGTGATACTGCTTTGTTGTTCCTCCATTCAGCACCCAACCACTCCATTTCAAGCTCACGAGGTTTGGGCATGTTTCCATGATTTCATCCAGACTGTAATTGTGCCGTACAGCAGTACATACGTCGTGCACCCATGATGGATGGCCATGTATACAGGATGCCGAGTCGCGAGGTATATCTATGAGAACGCTATCAGCAAGGCGTACGTTGAAAAGTATAAAGATAAACTTACCAATGCAGAGACGCGATAGGTTGCAAAGATGATTGCCAAGTAATCTCGAAAATGATATGACTTTGCCATGGATTGTCATTGTTCGAACACGAGAAGCATGTGAGAAGGTCGCCTTATCATAGCCAAGTAGCTTCGTTGCTGGTAGCTGATATGACAAGAAGGGCGTCGATTCGAGAATCCTTTTGCGCCAACATTTTGACACATATAGAAACGTAGGCGTAGCAGCATTCATGGTCGGAATGGATTCCCAAAGATAATCAACAATATGGCTGACAATATCAAAAGGAAGTCTGCTGATGAAGTCGACCTTTGTTATGCTGTAATAGAGTGTTGCCATGGATGTTGCTGCTTGGTCCATCTGATACGAGAGCTCCTTGAACTTGGTAATCAAATGTTGATACAAGGCAGCTGTCGACGATGTTGGTGCCATAGACATGATTTCTTTTGCAACAGATAGTGCTTCATCCACCTTTTTCATACAAAGTAGCATTCCTAGCTCGGCACTCACACGTCTCAAGAGCTCGTCATTGCCCATCAGAGATTCGTCAACTCCTGGATTTTGGTACCGATTCCCAATGAGGTTCACCAATGCTGAACGAATACTGCTGTCATCGCTGTTGTTGGCTTCCATGTTGAAAAGTAAAGGGCATAGAAAAGAGAGAGAGCTGACTTTGGTTGCGGGAGCGGAAAAAGGTCCCTTAAGATTGAGGATGGAGGTGCAAGCCTTCTTGTGTCACGTGAATAATGCATGATTGAAAATCTTGCCTTTCGTTAATGCATCGGTCAATAGTAGTAGTAGTAGCACTTCCATTAAAGACATGTGTACAGATTCCCTTTTTGTACTTCTACATGAATAAATAGTATACGCCAATACATAAATATGGCAGCAACGACTCCATGTGTATTGATTATGTAACCAAAGGTTCTGTATCAGGGATCATCATCTGTGTAACGAGGATAGTAGATGCACCTTCACACATCTTCAAATCTCATACATTGCTCATCACTTCATGATATGACGATATCACATTTAATATCCCGATGCATCCTACGGGAATTTATGCATATTTGGTTTTGCCATGCATATACACAGGGGATCATGTCAGCAAACACCTTGGTGTTCCCGACATTGAAAAGACACATTACAACATGCGTTCTTATGCAACGTTACATGACATGGGTGACAAGTATGCTGGTGTATGAAAATGTATTTGGATGCAGCTTTATTTACATAAACAATTACTAAATGCTAGGATGAACTATATTTTACGGGGTCCCTCACGTTAGAAATAGTGTGGTGTTCTATGTCGTTTCCATGCTGGTTTTGAAAGACGAAAAGTAGGGCGACACTTTCTTTGCGTGCATACTAGCTTGAAGGATCCTTTTTCCAAATCAGCAATGTCGGATGGGTCAAATCGATAAAGGTTGAGATGCAATGATTCAAGCGTTCTGAAATCGGTGGCAAACGAATACGCACCACCCCCTCTCATATCATTAGCCGTGATAATGATTCGTTTGAGATTGCGATGCAAGCACATTGGGATAACGTCGTAAAAAGAGCCAGGACTTCCAGTATTGTTTGTCAATGTGAGCTGTTCCAGAGCTGGGCATCCATCATTAAGCTCCTCAGTAAACTCTTCCAGTATTTCGAACGCTCCAAATCCCTCGCCACATAATTCAAGGCTGGTAAGCTTGGATAAATACGGAAGAGACCAAAGCCATGGAGAGCTGTGTGAAAGAATCACCTTGATTTCTTGAAGCTTCGATCGAACGCCAAGGTCCACATGGTGTTGAATAAACTCTTCCTCTTCATCACATTCTTCACGATCCGCTTTCATAACAATCCTTTTGACATGCGAGTGTGCGGGCTTCATAAGCTCTTGAAAGACACGTTGTTGACCAGGACCAGTTACTGTTCCCATAGATTCCAATTGAGGCGCATGTTGCATCATCCACATGGCAAACGTGATAAACCTGTCATTGACATTGGCAGGGTACTGGATTTCTCGCAAGTTGTTGAATGTCACTTTTTTGGTGGCGTCTTGTTCCAGCAGCATCCCTCCATCAGTAGTAAATCCTTTCCCAAATACCATTTCAAAGACCTCCATCGTATTGCTGTGCTTCATCATATAGCGAACCATATCATCCTCGTTGTAATTGCTAGATTCGTCAGGAGTCGCCATGCACAAAACACGTAGCCCAGTAGTATCTTCTTGTATGCCTTGAATGTATGGTTGGTCAAATGGGCGATCGGTTAAGATGAGTTGCTGCAATAATGGGCAATGCTGATCAACTGCTGGAAAAATATCCGATCCTGATACAGGAGACATCTTCAATACACGCAATTGAGGAAAGTGTCGCAAGAGACATGAAATGATTTCTTGGTTCACCATATCAATGTCATCGGGCTTGGACACGTCCAACGTAGTAAGCTTGGGATAGGTCTTGGTAACCGTTGACATGTCAATATCACCACGCACCATACGTATTGATACAAGATTGGGGCATGCATCCAAGATATCACATAGACGGTAACATTCCATTTGTGCAAAATGGAGTCCATATTCAATGTGCAGATTCGTCAATGTGTTGCCCAATGTGCGTAAAGCTGAATATAAAAGCTCCGGTCCACGTGAAATAGATTCTAAAAACATACCATTAGCCTTGTGAAGTCCCTTCCCTTATCCCTCCATCCATCATGATGATGATGATAACATACCATAGATCGTCAATTGCTGCAATGATTCGAATTTGCCACGGCTGGTGATTTTGGATAGCATTTCATTTCCTGGTTGTGCAACTGTCAATGTCCTCATGAAAGGCGCCAAATGGGATATGCGTTGATAGCCATCCTTTGATAAACCTTCATCTCCAATTTCAAATTCCAAGCCCTCTGCCATTGCCATCCGTTTTCGCCATGTACGACACACATCAAAATAGTCGCACCGTTTTCCAAGTTTGACTCTCAATTGGCCACCCAATATCCTTGGAACGATGTTTTCTGTCACAATATTCAATGGTAACTTGCTGATGAAATCAACACGCTTGTTCTTCTTGTTGATTGCTGCTGCACGTGTTCTCACAAGTAGTTGATGTCGAGGACTAGAGTTGGGTACATGTTGCAATGCTGTATCATAAATCTTGATTGCTGACGCGTAGTGTCCACGGCGAAAATGAATAGATCCTGCACGGAGGTAGCCTGATCCTGAAGAAGGTGCTAGTTGTATCATAGCCATCGCGTCCTGCATGGCGAGATCGAGTCGTTCAGCTTTCACGAGTGCCGATGCTCTCGCATTCAGAGTCAACAGGAGCTTTTGCATACAATCTTTGACATTGGTTGTCAGGTTTTTGATCTCGTCGTCTGTCAATGGGTCGCCATTGGCAACGGCAGAGTGGGGAGGACACAAAATGTCAACGCGGGTCTCGATCATGGCGGTCGTGGAGGTAAACAGCAACCCATAAATTTCAATGCGAACACCCAGTTTACATGCAGCTGCGTTGTATCACATAGGCTTCGGCTGGCCAACCGATCAATCATCATATACATGACAACTTCTTATCATATCAACCTGCTAGTTAGCATACTCTAAGATTCAAAATACACTTATAAAACCGATGCTTTTATATATATAAACTTATGCATTCAAGGTGGTTTGAGTAAAATAGGAGAGGGTTACCATAACGATTGCTGTACGGATTGGTCGAGAGGTGTTGTGTAACCATGCCATTCATCATCATCATCCATCATCTGCTCAATAAAGCATACGGCATGGTGGAGCCAATTAACGTGACCCTATGCAGTTTATCGTGTACAAAAGGAATCCACACGCACATGCCATAGAATACAAAACGTCACAGACAAGACTAGGTTCATTCAATCTCTTTTGTTTGCTGGTTGCCATAAACGTTCAGTGCTAATGGGCTCAAACAGCCAATGGCCTCATAAAACTTAATACCACGTTGTTTAATTATGAGAAAAGATAGCCACCTGCATCAAGGCTTTTGTGAAAGGATCTCGATTAAACCCGAAAAAGACATCATCATCATCATCATCCATCATGCTTCATCACGTTCCATTGTAATATGAGCTACTTGTTTAATCCTATGTGTATGGCTTAGTATTCTACCAAAGGATTTTATTAAGAGAATGGTCTTTCTACTTGGAAAGTGCTGAGAGAAGGAAATGAGATGATAAAGTCACGTGAAAGCATTTGAGGCGTGTAAATTTTGACACAGCCCGCTCGCGTCGCTTGGCACATCTTTTTCTTGTCCCCAACTCAACTACAACACCTCCCCTTGCCGCTGTGCCTTGGGTATCGTGCAAGCGCACGTAAGGTAAATACAACAAGCATACACAAGCACCCAGTGTACCGATCTCGCTTCTCCATCTAGTGCTGCCATTGTAAACAAAAAGTTTTCTGGAATAAGCCACCCGCTTGACGACATTGCTGTTAGCAAGGTGCCGACTTACCTGAAGCACTCGTATGAAGGAGAAAAGGCAACTCGGTGGTATCCTGTTCTTATAATTGGTGAGTGAAGCAGAGAGAGTGCTGCTGCTGATGATGATGATGAACGAGCCTAACAAGGGCATCCTTTTTAGTGCACAAGTACATGCCTGATTTCAAGTGAGCAAGTCCATATCTATTTCAAGTGAGCAAGCGCATGCCTATTTCAAGAGGACAAGTCCTTGCTTAATGCAGAGAGCAAGCCCATATCTATTTCAAGCCACCAGGTCTATGTCTATTCAAAGTGGGCAAGGCCTTGTCTTTTTCAAGCGAGGAAGTCCATGTCTACTTGAAGAGAGCAACTCCATGTCTACTTGAAGAGAGCAACTCCATGCCTATTTCAAGAGGGCAAGTCCATACCTATTTCAAGCGAGCACATCCATGCCTGTTTCAAGCGAGGAAGTCTATGAATGTCTAAAGTGATCGAGCGCGTGCCTATTCCAAGAGGACAAGTCCATATCTATTTCAAGAGGGCAAGTCCATATCTATTTCAAGCGAGGAAGTCTATGGGTATCTATAGTGATCAAGTGCATGCCTATTCCAAGAGGACAAGTCCATATCTATTTCAAGGAGCATCAGCAAGGACATGGGACATGAGTGTGTTCCCTTATCCTCGTCCAAGATCTTCAAAGATGGTCAATCAGCCAATCACAGCCACTTGGCCTTTGTCATTGTGTTCGCCTCTCACATTTGGGAGACCTGGAGGACTTCATATCATGGATCGGTTGGTTATTTCGAGAACAGTTATTATTTTGGGATTATGGTTCGGGAATAAAGATCCCTTTTTGCGGCTTATCATCAGTGTTCATAAATGTCATGTTAACGCGGATGGTCATCATACAGATAGAGAGTTGGATTTGGATAAGGATATCATGGATGGGATAAAAGGGTACGTGTACCTTGATGTATGGTATGATCAGCATAGCACGGTCTGTGAGGTGGGGAGCGTGTCAGGATCAAATTTATAAGCGGGCCTATCATGGCCTTGTTCTAAAAAACATCCAAAAGTAGCTTCCATCACCATCCCCAACTAGTACACGTTGTTTCATAGTCCTTGCAATAAAGAGTCAATCCAGTGGAATGCATTTTTGACATGTTGAATAAGAAAACTTAAGCATTGCATAGTTTAAGAGCACAATGGAGTTGTAATCCTTAACAGCCGTACACCTTCAAGCTGATGAATTAATTGACGCGTCATCTTTTGTCTCCCACCAACGACTTATAGTGCCTTTCACATTTAAGAATGGTTAGTACCATCGGCTTGTGGGCGGTCAATCAAGTAGGTAATGAAGCGTTTGGGATGCATATTGTGTAACGACAGCTGATGACCCATCTCCAATAAGTAAAAAGGCATAACCATGGTGGAGGCCACATAGCCCAATCCAGGATACAAAGAATGAGTATTTTAGCTGAATGATTACGTTGCATGCATATGGATGTTCATCCATTCAATGACTCCTCATCGATTGCTTTCATTATGATAAAGGATGGGTGACACAAGGATTCGTGCAGGATCTCGTTAATAGGGTAAAACGGCTGATGTGGCCCATACATGGCGGCTCACCCATTGTCTTTCCCCCTCGTATTTATATCACCGCCCCATATATATCTAATTACATCAAGCCATTCGTTGCATATGATAAAAGATATTCATATTCAATCATGCAGGGATGAGTGATGATGGTCCAACTAGGTCCGATTGCTATAGAAATTGAGGTGGGTGTTCCTTCTTGGTTACCAACACAGCACACAATGTTTCCTTTACCTTTTTCTCAGGACCTCTTCCAACAACCCACGCTTCCAGCTTCCACTGCAAACTATGCACAGCTTGTTCACGATTCAACCACTCAACTACAACAATCCCTTGAATGCATCGTGTCAGCTTTGAATCGACGCTCCATGGCATTGTCAAAATGCGCCAAGTTTGATGCTGCTCTTCGCGATGCGAACGCCATGCAACAGCTGTCGCCTTCTTCAGCACTTGGATATTTACGTGCAGCCGAAGTTTACAGTGCACAAGGGATACAACGCCGTGTTGTGGATATATGCAACAATGGACTCCGTATGGCCAACACTAAGGATACGCACTATGCAACACTGCAACAAGCCAAAGAGGATGCTATGCACCAAAGCAATAAACGCGTCGACTTTGTCACTCAACTTCCTTTCGACATCGTTGCTACAGTGCTCTTGCCAATGTTCATCGATCGTAATCCCTTGAATCAATCTATACCATTACGATATTTGTGCGTGTCCGATAACTGGTATGATCGTATTATTCAGTATCTCGATGGTCTACGCTTTACATCCGAATTGGAATACAAGAATAATAACGCGGCATGGTGTTCATTAGTGCAAGTGTTTGCCCAGGATGTACGATCATTGGTGATTAGCCAATACTCACATGGGACGTGGCTAAGCGACTTGCTACGCGACAATGACCTTTGCTCATTACGGGAGTTACGTATCCATGGTAAGCTGTCACCCATGTTTTGGTATCCATTGACTGATCATCGTCTGTATTAGGCTTTGCAAATCACCAAATCGCCCCCTTTGTCTCATCACTAAAGTCGATCAGCACCACTTTAACCGATCTCCTTCTCAGCATGCAACATGATTATGTCTTACCGATGGCCGACATTTTGATGGCTTGTCCCAACCTTGTTTCTTTGACAATGAAACAACCCTCAAATGTCGACCTCAGCGCTCTGCCTATGACAACAACGTGGTCCAAGATGACAACACTATCTGTATCCGACGCAACAGACGACATTACCACCGATCATGTGGTGGAGATTTGGAAACGACTTCCCTCACTCAAGGAACTTTCATTACATCCATGTTCAGATATTCAATCAGCATTCGTTGTATCAGACTATTGCGCATCAATGAGGAAGATTGGACTCTACATGAGCAGTAGGCATACTAAGCTTACCTATTTGGATCAAGGGCATCAATTCAAAGGGCATGGAATTACCGATCTTTCATTCCATGGCGGTTCACCCACTAGTATCAGCTACCACGACATCTGTAATTTACTAATGCGATATTGCCGAACGTTGGATTTTCTTGAATGGGGAATGGATCTTCATATCCAAAATGACGACATTTACAGTATCTGTTACCCTCAGCTGAAGAAGCTTGTTATCTCTTGCATTGGATGTGGATGGTGGTTACCAGCGAGCGCGCCTCTGCTAGAAGAATTCGACATCTCGTCCCACGCCATCGAGACAACTGATAAAGTACTTGAAACGATTCCGCCCAAGCTACAAAAGCTAACGATGGGAATTGATACATTATCGCTACATGACAAGACACCCATCACCCAATACCTCAGTCGTATTGCTCAACATTGCCATTTGACGCATTTTACCGTATACTTACATAGCGATGACCTCGTGAGGGAGATACTTGATGCGATTTGCCGTTTGAACCAGCTTGAGCATTTGGCGATCCTTTATACAGACCATTGGGAAGAGGATGAAATGGAAGAGTTTTTCGACCAGCTTGTGAAAGGATGTCCGCGTTTGACCAGACTTGAGCTTAAAGCAGATGCCCCACCATCGCTGTATTCCATGAACGCCTTGAAACAACTGAAGCAGCTTAAGGAATTTACCTTCTCGATCGGTTGGTGCGATAACGGTCCACCCTTTTTGGATACTGTTCAAGCATTGTCACAAGTTAAACGTATGCGGATCTACCCAAGGATTGCAGAGGATATGCAAACAATAAGTCATCTAAGACAACAAAGGCCTGACATGAAGATCATCCTCGACGAAAGATTTAGGCAATTCTGATATCCAAGGATACAATTGGAATGGCGCCTCCCCGTTCACGTGTATGACCCAGCAATGATTAGGATACTACATACATCGACATGTACACAATACAACCAATAAAAGAGATAACATACATCTTACTTGACGACCTTTGATTCTTCCTGAGGCCATCGATGGAAGTAGACATGATTACGTAGATGATCTCAATTAGCTCCATTGAATAAAATCTCGTTCAGATGACTTAAAAACATAATGTATAGCGCTATGTGGAGGCTCAGCATCGCTTCCAATCTCTATGCTTTCTAATACAGAGATTCAGAGAAACGGTACTCGAGTATGCGAATGTAAACCTTCAAGTTGGATCTATTTGCGGAATAATGAGAAAGTAGGCGATGAAGATTGGATCCGGAATAGGCCATATGCAGAGTCTAGTGCCAGCATCGCATTTAATTGCTACCGTACCTTATACCAATAGGGAGCAAACGAATGGCTTTATATTCGTAAACCAAATTTCAGATAAGGTTGCAATGCGGAATAATGAAAGAGATCGGAATCACTAAAGCCCCAAGATCGGTAAAGAGTGATATTATAGTCCAATTCCAATCAATCTTGATGCTGTTTGATATCAACGTCTAGAGAAACCATGGTTTCATAACCGAATACGGAATATCAGACGAGGTTCACTTGTAGAATGTTGAGATCCAAACAATCCGGCTCCAGCACATAATGAGCAAGATGTCCTAATTCCAATGGACCACGATGCCATTGGCACCACTAGATGCAGAAACCATGGTTTTATAACCGTATACAAAATTTCAGGCAAGGTTGACTTGTAGAACAATGAGAAAATAAAGAGCCAGTAGTGTGATGACGCGTCTAAGCTGTGTTTGAATATGATGTGGCTTTGTGTTTTGGGTATAAAAAAAAGTGCAGGGGGGTGAAAAACTTTTTTGTTTTTCTTTCCGCAGCTCTTGCTCCCACGGTCTTCAAAGGTAAGTTTTCTTTTCTTTTTTCTTATGTGGGGTGGTATGGGTGAGTGGATGGTGGTGGTGGTGGTGTGTGTGTGTGTGTGTGTGTGTGTGTGTGTCACAGGTAGGTGAATGGATGGGCAAGAAGAGGGGATAAAGAGGAATGTGTATGGGTGAGAAGGGTGGGAATGGGGGGTAGTCTGACCACGACTATAACTTGGACGTCCTGATAACGATGTGAGAGGTGTCCGTCTGCAATGACGTAAACTTGCGTCCTGATAATGACGTTACCACTATCCGTCTGAACACGACGTTAACCTGCACGTCCTGATAACGATGTCTAAGAGGTGTCCGTCTGACCACGACGTTAACTTGGACGTCCTGATAAACGATGTTAGAGGTGTCAGCCCTTGAAAATGGCAATAAACTTTTCCGCCCTTGCTCATGGCGCAAAACTGACCACGTCCGAAACGACGTTAAACTGGGTGCGGATTGCCAATCACCTCCCCGTGGTCGCACCTGGAAACCATCTTCATTGATGGGCTAAGAATTGGCACAGCTAGTTGCTTACTTTTATTAAATAAAGCTTTTCTTATATACAAAAGCATCTATTATGGTCATCTTATTATATAAATAATACAATGTCTATAGCCACATAGTCTTCTCTTTTATATGTTGTAGCTTTTATATATGAAATAAACAATAATTGACCTACACATAGTGATAGTAATAACTTGGGTTGCCATGGAAGCAGCTAAGAGTGGGAGGTTTTTGGTGGGCCTGTGTGTAGAAAGGTGCATGTGGAGATGAGTCATTCTCATTTGTGTGCATCAAAAGGGTATGCGTACACCATGTACTCAGCTTCTCTTTGCTTGGTTCTATCCAGACTCGACAACAACAGCTGATCGTAATTCGACATGGGAACGAGCTCATTAGCAAACGTTGTGTGGTGGAGGGTGTTCATAAAGGTGCGTATCGTCTTAATAGAGTGCAAAAGTAGACTTGCCTTTGTTGGCTTTGTATACTGATACGGTTGTGCTTTCACAGCTTTTTTTGGGTTCAGGAATGTCGACGATTTCAAGATTGAGGAGGAATGTGGAACGAGATTCTGCTCAAGAACGGCAACGAGTGCTCTGTTGAAGTGGGAAGTTAAAGCGAAGATGCAAGGTTTGTAGCACGGCAGTGGTTGGCATGGACACCGGTCATTGACGAGCCTATTGGAACTAGCACCAGCAACTTTTATTTGGGCGTACCAATCACGTGAGGTCATAGCCGTGCAAGAAGATGAAAGGATACATGGGCATGAAGAAATGCAATGCGTACGTACAATGCTATAGGAAGCAGCAAGGCATGCAATTGGATCATAATCAATGGAGCAAACAAGTAAGACAAGCAATTAATGGTACGATATGGATATATGTAGTTGGATGGCCTGTCAAGATGCAGCAAGCATGGTATGTGGATTGTTGCTATGCAACGTGGCGTGGCGATTTACTTGAACCTTTCCATATAGGAGAAAAGATACAGCTGTGAGCGATTACATTGATTGTATTGGGATTGGATCGGGGCATATGGTAGGTACATGTTCCACAATAGCTATTTGAGAGGAAATGTTCGTGTATGGTTCCTAATGCAGCTCGCTTTTGTGTTATGTCTCAGGCTTTGTATCAGTGATCCAATATTGATGACTCTCTAAGCGTTCATCGCTCGTAACCTGGCAATCGGTTCGCTGTCATGGTTCGTCTCTTGGTTACGGCATGGACGATACAGCTTCTTCTTTGAACACCTCGAGACGTCGTATAGCCTTGACAACAACACCTCCACGCATAGCCAAGTTGATACCCACAAGATGATTATGATTTGCAGCTGGATGAATGAATGGATAAACACGATCGTCAACAATCGCTATCCCTTCAACACATGACCCTGGATCTATGGTTCCTTTTGGTATGGGATGAAGTATGGGTGTTGGTCGACCGGAGAGAATACAATGAGGGTGGCGCGTGTAATAGCGACTGTGGATGGATGGAAGCCATTTTGCGACATTACAGAAATCTTCGGAAACAAACCAAGAGGATGCATTTTGTGACATGGTAGCAAAGAAGAAGTATCCGCGTCATCCCCATTCAAGTAGATACATAGAAAAGGCAGCACCATGCAGCGAATCTACCAGCACCAATGGCATCTACAAATGGGACACTATCATCGTCGTGGCAATAGTTTTCGCTTCATCCACAATACAAGGTGCACAAACAGCAGCTAGCGTTGAGCTATATCATTGTATGCATGGGACTGGATGGTGGCAAGAAAAATCGGCACAAGGCCAACCTATTCACCATGATCCACCAAAAGCAGAATGACAATGAGATTTTGGTGGTCACTTGGGATCACTGCAGCAGAGCATGGATATCGATGGGATTACAACAAACATGGATAAGAAGGATACCGGCTGCCACAATACAATGCTCCAGTCACCATTACCACCAGCATGATGCAAGATACATGCTTACTGTTCCATGAAACTATGCACGTTAATTCATTCCTTCAACAATCCAAAGATGCTAGAATTTGAAAGTGGAATAGATAGGAGGACATCCATTTAGCTAAAGCCTTTCGAGCTAGCTAGCCTGCCCGTATTAATCTTTGAATACATATAATTTCATCTTCATGTTCAGCTCTTGTGCGATACGTTTGACAATCACCAAAGATCACTTGTTATTCAAGATGATGCTTCACGCATAGTAAAAGTATAAAGTTGACCGTTCCTTAAAATCTCACAATGAAGAATGTGGTCTTTAATAGAACCAACATGCTCGGCATGGCCAAAAGTATCTTGTGTGCACGTTTCACGTTCATCGTGGGCAATCGCAAATTTCGCGTTTGTCGATGTCACCCAAAAAGTTTCAACAGGCTGACCTGATTTCATTTTGGCTGGTGGTGACATGGCCAAATTTGAGATTGACGAGTTCGATCCTGAAACTGGCACACAAGGTTGCTTGAGCTGGGCTGAGCACGGTGGTTGCAAAAAGAGCGCATACTTCATTGCGAGTTTTTGCGCTATGGCTGCCTTTATGCTGTAAACATGATACTATATGAGAAAGGCATCTTTTTGAATTGTCACTCATATAACCACTTGTAGTGCAATAGCTGGTGAACGCCGTGTTTGAGTACGAAAGCAAAGAAAAACAGGATTAAAAGGCCAATGTATCATATGTACTCACTAGCTGATGGTCATTCATACATTGCTCGCTATCAGCCAATTCCACCCAATCCAGCCCATTGTGGATTTGATGACATATGAAAAATGCGTCTGCTGCAAAGATTCATTTCCTATATTCAGGTGTCTTGATCCGAGCTGATTTGAGGAAAATACGGCCAAGTAACGGGTACATCGGTTCCAACATACAATGTATATGGGTGTATGGATTAGACAAACCTGGCCTAAGCGTATCTCATCCAAACCAGCTCGGATCAAGATAATTGGATGATGGAAATGTTGGGCTGGAGCAGGAGCATTCACCAATGCTGCCAAATCCTCAATGGGCTCAATTGGGTGGGATTGGTTAATAGCGTCCAACCTATGAATGACCGTGATACAGTGGAGCCATATCATCCATCCCTGTTTAAATCCTTTTTTCTTCGCTTTCGTATACAAACACTGTCCTTGGCACCTATCTCACTATAGGTGTACATATCAGTCACAATGGAAAAAGACCCACCTTTATAATAGCAAAACATACACGCACCTGTAACTCAAAATCTCACAATCAAGCATTGGCTCTTTTTGGAACCCGCATGCTCAGCATGGTCAAAGGCACCTTGTGTGAAAGTATCAAGCTCGAACTCGTCAATATCAATTTTTGCGATCGTGGATGTCAGCCAAAACGTTTCAAGAGGTCGACCTCTTCTCATTTTGGCGGGTGGTGACATGGCCAAACATGAGTTTGACGATTCGATCCTGAAACTGGCACACAAGGTTGCTTGAGCTGGGCTGAGCACGGTGGTTGCAAAAAGAGCCCATGCTTCATTGACAGCTTTCGAGTTATGGATGGCTGTATCTACGCTGTAAACATGATGCTATTATAAAGTCATCTTTTTCCATTGTCACTCATATAACCACTTATAGTGCAATAGCTGCACGAGGCCGTGTTTGGGTAAGAAAGCAAAGAAAACAGCATTAAAAGAGCAATGGATCATATGTATACGCCATGTCACAGTCATTCATACATTGCTAGCCATTAGCCAATTCCACCAATCAAGACCATCATCGATTTCATAATGTATGAAAGATGCACCTGCTCCAACGATTCACTTTGATGGTTTCATTAGATTGATCCGAGCCGATTTGAGGAAATTATGGCCAAGTAACGGGTACATCGGTTCCAACATGCAAGGTACACGGGTGTATGGAGTAGCCAAAGCCTGGTCTAAGCGTAGCTCATCCAAATTGGCTCGGATCAATGTGATTAAGCCATGGAACGGAACCTTGGAGCATGTTGGCGTTCATTTCGAGGATTCGTACATTTCAAGGAATGACTAGGCCATTTCAAGGAATGACTAGGCCATTTTGAGGAATGACTAGGTCATTTCAAGAATTGACTAGTTCATTTCGAGTACTTGAAATGTCCTAGTACATTTTCGAATGCTCCAAATGTCCTAGTACATTTCAAGGAATACCTAGTACATTATCGAATCCCCCAAATGTCCTAGGTCATTTCAAGTGTGCACTGTTTTGTGAATAGCCATCTCGAGACAACCTTCATTTCACTTCTTATTGTTGTATCAAGCATCCCTTATCTCATTCACTATAGTACATGTTGCCAGGCAACCCTCATCCCACTCACTACAGTACATGTTGCATGGGAACCATTATAGAATATAGCAATCTTTTCTATGTTTGCAACGTCGTGTCATCTTGATAAAAACTTTATTGCTATCCATGTTTATTCTAATGTGGCTAATCACGATGTTAGTTGTAGTATTTGGATCTCCTTGTCTCACGGTGTGTAAGTGCTCTAGTCAATGGGCGGGTTGGTGTAGGCTTGGTAACTCGTGCTTTTCTATTTCTAGTTTGTCTAGGTGGGTGCGTGGTGACTTGTTCATTGACCCAGGCATTGGAACAAGGCATAGAAAGATCGGGGTGACAATGCTTGGTGCATATTGCGTTCTTCTTTTAGCATGGGTAGCTGCTTGTCATGGATCAAACCTTGCATGGCAATGTCTCTCGGCAAATGGTATATTGTGCTGTTCACTCATAATAACGAGAATCTCTTTGATAAAACAAGTAATATGCTTGGACGGGCTTGAAAACTATTTTCCAGCATGGGATTGGAACCCATATTACGTATTTGATGGAGGGTTTATGCCATGTAATTTTATTTACAACACGCTATCTCATTAGCTCTCGATGACTACATAATGCCAACACCGAAACCTACCATTGTATCACAAACAGGATCCACCAGGATTTATGATCTTGAAATGTGCTAGCACATTTTGAAATACTCGAAATGACCTAGGTAATGCTTCAAATGTGCTAGTACATTCCGAGTACTTGAAATGTCCTAGTGCATTTTCGAATCTTGAAATGTGCGGATCCTCGAAATGAACGCTCACAGAGCAGGCGCATTCACCACACGTTATCAAATCCACAATGGGCTGGATTGGGTGGAATTGGCTAATAGCTTGAAATGCATGAATCATTGTGAGATAGCGTATACATATCATCCATTGCTCTTTAATCCTTTTTTCTTCGCTTTCGTATACAAACATCGCCTTTCGCACCTATCTCACTATAAATGTACATATGAGTCACAATTGAAAAAGACCCACGTTTAAAATAGCAAAACATACATGCACCTGTAGCTCAAAATCTCACAATGAAGCATGGGCTCTTTTTGATACCAGCATGCTCAGCATGGTCGAAACTACCTTGTGTGAAAGTATCAAGCTCGAATTCGTCAATAGCAATTTGTGGATTTGTCCATGCCAGCCAAAAAGTTTCAAGAGGTCGACCTGTTTTCATTTTGGCGGGTGATGACAAATGCGATTATTGATAGTAACGATCTCGAGCTTGGTACTTTAACACAAGATAGTTTTGACCTCGGCGTGCAACATTGCGCTAGTAAAGAGCCCTATGCTTCAACGTCATGGCAAATGAAAAGTGGGCATTGTGCATTCCCAATTGTCTCATCCATGATCGAGTTAAACTTGCGGCAAGTTCTACTTGTATTACAAACAAGAGAGGCTGCAATGAACTTTGATCCCGAGTACGTGCTATCATTACCAGCCCCACCTTGTGACAGGCGCTACCGCCTTATCGCAGCTTTATTCATACGCATGTAAGTAGGCCTTGTACTGATAAAAGACACGCCAAGTGGAAAGGGATGCGCGCCCGTAGCATTAACATAGGATGCAATAGTAGGATAGATTAGCTAGCCGTGCGAAATGAAGCCAAACTACAGGTGCAGATTTCTGATCACCTCGATTTAGTTGCACTGGAAACGATCTTGTTTGATTGGCTAAGAATTTGGCATAGCTAGTTCTTTGCTTTTATTATTAAAGCTTCTCGTATATACAAAAGCATCTATCACGGTCGCCGTCTTTATCGCAAAAATATCATATTAATGACAGCTTTTATGAGTAAAATGACAGTGATGGGTATGCATCAGGAAGTGAGAGCAGTAATCATATGGATGTTGCTATGGTGAATGGAGGTGGATGCCTGTGTCCATGGAATCGGGAGCCAAATTTGTGCATGCTTATGCAGCTCGAAATTGTGGTACGTGTGCTCGCCTCCTTGTTTCCTACTTTTCACCGAAACCTTACACCAACCCAAACCACGATGCCAACTCTTGTTCGAAATGGAGCTCATTAGCAAACGACATGTATGGAAGGGTGTCAATGAGGGTGTGCAACAAAGGAATAGGTTGTGGAGGGCGTCTTGTTCACGTTCGCAGTGTTAACTTACTTCCTTATGTTTTTAAAGCTTTTTGGTTTACGAATGGCGACCCGCCAGCGATGGGGAGAAATGAGCAAAGCGAATCTGTTCAAGAGTGTCGAACGTACCGAGACAGAAGACAGCAGTAACGGCTTCAAAGGCGTATGGCATAAGGCTTCATTGGCACTACGTATCGACGACATTGGGATGCTACCAGCAAGAAGGATTGACGTTAGACATCACAAGGCTAGCAGCAAGTGGATGATGAGGGCTTCCAGGTTGCCAAGATGCATCTATACAACGCGATTGGATGATGGCGTATACGTGATGGATCAAAGGACGGTAATCAACAATTACAGACGTTGGATTTATTATATCGACATGGGTTACTTGGTGATCAACATTGATGGTGGATGATGTTTGGATATACAATGATGGAGCTACGTGGATTGACGCTATACAATGCACAATGGGATCCGCTTTATGGCCATCAACAAATCATCGTGTCCAGTCGAGGCAACAATTGCGAGAAGCTGTTGAGCAATGTGCGTATGATCTTTTCCTTGTGGGCATGTTTCTTTCTTTCAACTGCGACACAAAGGGGACAATGTGTTTACAGCAACTCGATTGGATACCTGACGTATGTGTTTTTTTCTGGTGTCAACACGTCTTGTTATCTATACGGCATCAGCATTCAGCTCGCCCATTTATGATTGGAAACATCAATCAGATATGAACATGAACTACGATTATGCCCTAAGGCAACAATTTTTGGCCTATATGGATATCCAATGGGCTATACATACAAATATTGGTACACGAAGCTATCCATCATTCGCAACTGATATCAACGGGCACATGATGGCATCATCCAAAAGACGCAATCCAACGAGAGACAAGCGCTGTATCGCTCTTGGCGTGGAGATTACATTTGGAGCTCAAGCTAGGCTAGAAGCGTGTACCATATTGAAGATGGCAATGATAGAGGGATTGATACAAGGCGTTCAAGTACTCGTAGTACACAATTAGAGTCATCAACTATGCCAACTATATTCCACACCCCAGATGACCAGTTCAAGATCACCCCATCCATTACACTAGCTCCGGGATTTCATCGTTAAAACCACAAAGAACGCACCATCCCTTTCATATGAATCTCATGCATCATTATCCACGAGTTGGTGACGCTTCATAATAAAGTATGATTCGAGCTATAATGAGAGCATCCACGTCTCAATTTATTCGCGCAAGGACATGTAGGAAAAGCAAAGGGGAAATAGGGTGGGATTATAGAGCTATCATATTGGGGAATTGCTTGCGAAGAATATCGATTATGTGATCATCCAGTCCCTCGAATGGAATTTGGAAATGTTTAAGCTGGGTCAAAGCAAGCAAAGAAAGTGCAGCCAGGGTCGGTAGATAACCTCCATCGATGATAAGAGACGTGAGAGTGTGTGCATGTTGTAAACGAGCAAGTGTAGGTTCTTCAACGCAGCATCCCAGAACGGTGATCTTCAGTTGTTTTACATTCATCACATTGTTGCCTGATATCGAATCCAGAATCATGGCCATTGGTGAATCAAACGAAACAACGCGATGCAAGTCTTCCAATAATGGCAACTTGGTGATGAGCGGTAAAAGTTCACGGGCGCATTTCTTGCTCCATAATCCAATTGACAACGATTGTAACGTCGATGAACTACCCCTTTGAACATGTGGACCGAGGAATCGTTTCAAAGCATCCAAGTCTTGCTGAAATTCACCCATGATCACGTTGACATCAACAAGTTTGGCACATGTCGCCATTAGGTCAACCGGTGCTCGAGATTTCCACATGATAAAAGGATCGCCGAATTTGATCGTTTCAATGCATGGTGCGCGAGGAATGATAGTGCTCATAATAAGGCGAATGTCACCATACCCTGGGGAACCTGACAAACGAATCAAACGTGGGAAGCTTATATCCGGTAGCAGGGGCATCACGCTTTGGTAGTAAAAGCTGTCCTCGCCAAAATGCAGATACTTCAATGTCTTGGATGCACGAACTAGGTTGTCAACTGCATACTCTGGTATGTCCTCATAGTATCCTCCATGAAAGGAAAGCTCCTGGATGCCTGATTCCAAAGTCGTATCCCATTCGTATGGCCATTTGATCACGCCATTAATAGATGTGTTGTACTTGAGACACTTCAGTGACGGGCAACATTTCATGACTCGATTCAGGAAGGCGATATGAAGGACGTCGAAGCTGGAGAGAACAACGAGGCAAGGCAACTTTTTCACAAGGGCAAGCAACCCCTCAACGCCGTGGATTAATCCCACAGCCAATACCCGTAACTGACGGTATTTTGTTGCATTTGCTACACCCAGCACGCAATGGCTCCACGTCAAGCTCACGAGGTTTGGGCACCGTTCCATGACTTCATCCAGGTTGTATTTGTGTCGTACATCGAGACACATGTCATTGTTAGCGAATGGTACGCCGTTGGTACATGTGGCAGCGTTGAACGGTACATCTATGTATACAGCTTCAATGAGCAACGCTTGCATGGAGATGCATAAAAGTAAACTTACCAATGCAGAGATGCGATAGGTTGCACAAATGATTACCAAGTAATTGCGAAAATGATATAACTCGACCACCAATCGTCATAGTGCGAATACGAGATGCAGGTGAGAGTGTCGCCTTATCAAAGTCAAGTAGCTTTGTTGCTGATAGCTGATACGACAAGAATGGTGTGGACTCGAGGATCGTTTGGCGCCAATGCTTTGACACATATAGAAAGGTTGGTGTCGTATCATCCTCCATGTTGGAAACGATTCCCCAAAGATAATCAACAATATGGATCACAATATCGAAAGGAAGTCTGCTGATGAAGTCGACCTTTGTTCTGCTGTCGTATAGTGTTGCCATTGATGCAGCTGCTTTATCCATGCTATCCAAGAGCTCCTTAAACCTCGTAATCAAACGCTCATACAAGGCAGCTGCCCATGATGTTGGAGCGATAGACGTCATTTCTTTTGCAACAGCAAGTGCTTCATCCACCTTCTTCGTACAAAGTAACGGTCCTAGCTCGGCATGCTTGCGTCTCAAGAGCTCCTGATTGGCACTCAGGGGTCGGCGAACTCGTTGATTCTGGTACCAATTCGAGATGAGATCCACCATTGCGAAATACATGTTGTCGTCATCGCTGTCATCGGGTTCCATGTTGAAAGACAAAGTGCGTAAAAAAGAGAGAGGGTGGGTTTTGGTTATGCGAGCGGGGAAATATGTGTCAAGATAGGGATGGAGTTGGGAGCGCTCTTGTGTCACGTGAATCTGCATGATTGAAAAGCTTACCTTTTACTTAATCCACCTGCCAATAAAAGCCGTAATAGCAATACCATGAAAGAAATTGGATCCAGTTTTCACTTTTAGCCTCTCAACCATATTAGTGTTGTCGTTTTTTGTATTTCTACAATAATAAATAGTGTAATCCCAGACACAAATACAGCAGCAACGGCCTCATGTGCTGATTGTGCAAGAAAGGATTAATATAGCAGGGTTGATTGTTTGTGTAATGAGGATGATTGATGCATCTCCGTGTACATCTAATGATACCCTTATGTACTGGACATTCCATGACGATGAGCCGGTACCATTACCGATATTCGTATGCATACCATGGGCCCTGGCACATTTATGACGTTGTCATGCATACGCACTGAAATCATTTCAAGATGTACCCTTAAAGCACCTATAAACTTTCTTATGGGCTTGAAGAGCATGATACATCACCCCTTCATATTTCAAAAAGACATGTTTGCAGCATGCTTGCTTATGCAACGTTACATGGCATGCGTGATATATAGGATGGTATATGCAAATGTATGTGGGGGCAGATTTATCTTTAACAAAAACCTCTCAGAGGGCCTTCCATTACTAACCGCTAGGTTGAACCATACGTAACGGGGTAAAATGACATTAAGAACCGTGTATCTTCTATGTCTTTGCTTCCATGCAGGCCATCCAAGTCCAAAAGTGGGCAACTTTTTCTTTGTGTGCATATTACCTTGAAGGCTCCTTTTTCCGCAACAGCAATATTGGAGTCCACAAGTCGATAAAGGTTGACATGCAATTATCCAAGCATTGTAAAATCATTGCACAACGAATACGCACCACCACTCCCTTCCAATTTTTGCGAGGCTTCATGATTAAGTATTATTTAAGCTATATTGAGGGTATCCACATCTCGATTAATTCATGCAATGGTAGGTTGAGGAAAGAAATGGGAATCATCTCCATATGTGGTGGGACTCTAACTCTTTCATATTAGGAAACTCCTTGCGAAGGACATAAATGATCAAATCATCCAAGCCCTCAAATGGTATTTGCAAATGGGTGAGCTGGGTCACCTCAAGAAGTGAAAGTGCTGCCATGGTCCATAGGTGGTCGGCATCGATGACTAATGATTTGAGAGTGCGTGCTTGATGTAAACGAGCAAATACAGGTTCTTCAACGTGTCGCCCCACAATGCTGATCTTCAATTGCTTGATCTTCATTGTATTACTGGTACTGATGGCGTCCAGAATCATTGGCATTGGTGAATGAAGCGAGATGGCGAGATGCAAATCTTCGAGCGACGTCAATTGTGTGAGAAGCGGTAAGAGCTCATAGGCACATTCTTCGCTCCATAGCGCTATTGCCAGCGATGTTAACGTAGAAGAAGTACCCTTTTCAATGTGCGTGTTGACGAATCTTCGCAAAGCATCCAGGTCCTGATTCTCATCATCCATGATGACGTTTGACTCCACAAGCCGTGTGCAAGATGCAATAAGATCAACTGGTTCTGGACGATACCACTTTAGTGAAGATTGAATCGATTTGATGGTCTCAATACGTGGTGCACGACGTACAATGCTGAGCAAAAGATCAAGTTCATCATCATCGTACTCTGGATCAGCAGTCAAACGAATCAATTGCGGGAACATTGTGTCTTGCGGCAGGGGCATCGCTTCATGATAACTGCCAAAGAGATTCTCGCCAACATGCAGGTATCGCAATGTCTTGGATGCGTGCACTAGGTTGTCAACCACATACTGCGTATGATCATTCTCGTCTTCTTCATGGAAAGAAAGTTCTTGGATGCCCTGTTCCAATCTCGTATCCCATTCGTATGGCCATTCGAGCACGTCATCATAGGGTGCGTTGTACTTGAGGCACTTCAGTGATGGGCAATAGCCGCTGACTCGATTCAGGTAGTCGACGTCAAGGATACCCTCAATGGAGAGAACAACGAGACAAGGCAACTTTACAAGCAGTTCATCGATTTCATCTTCGTCATCTCGTAGTTGTAATACGCGTAGCTGGTGATATTGCTTTGTTGTCCCTCCATTCAACACGCATCCACACCACTTCAAGCTCACAAGATTTGGACACCGTTCCATGACTTCATCCAGGTTGTAATTGTGCCGTACAGCAGTACATACATCGCGCCCACGTGATGGATCGAGACGTATGCATGATGTCCAATCGGTAGGTATATCTAATGCAGTAATTATGTATGAACAAACCTTGCGTTGAAAAGCATAAAAGTAAACTTACGAATGCAAAGATGTTTGAGGTTGACGAGATGTATCCCAAGTAATCGCGAAAATGATATAACGCTGCCATACATTGTCATTGTTCGAATACGAGAAGCATAAGATAGGGTCGCGTTCTTATGGCCAAGTAGCTTTGTTGCTGGTAGCTCATACGACAAGAATGGTGTGGACTCGAGGATCGTTTGGCGCCAATGCTTTGACACATATAGAAAGGTTGGTGTCGTATCATCCTCCATGTTGGAAACGATTCCCCAAAGATAATCAACAATATGGATCACAATATCGAAAGGAAGTCTGCCGATGAAGTCGATCTTCGTTATGCTGTCGTACAGTGTTGCCATTGATGCTGTAGCTTCATCCATTCTATCCAAGAGCTCCTTGAACTTGGTAATCAAAGGTTCATACAACGCAGCTGTTGATGATGCTGGAGCCATAGACGTCATTTCATTTGCAATAGCAAGTGCTACATCCACCTTCTTCATACAAAGTAGAGGCCCTAGCTCAGCACCCATGCGTCTCAAAAGCTCCTCATTGACATTCAGCGATTCGCCAACTTCATGATCTTGGCCCCGATTCCTCATGGGGTACGCCATTGCTGAATAAAAGGTGTCGTCTTCGCTGTTGTAGAGGTCGTTGTTGAAAGAGAAAGTGCGTAGAAAAGAGAGAGAGCTGACGATGGTTATGTGAGCGGGAAAATGTGTCTCAAGGTTGAGGATTGAGGAGCAACCGTTTTTGTGTCACGTGAATCGGCATGATTGAAAATCTTGATCCTTTGTGAACGATACCTTGCCTTTTGCTAATGCATCGGCTGATGAAATAGCTCGTTACGGATAACGTATCCAGTTATTGCTTTTCCTACATGAATAAATAGTATCCGCCAAGGCACCAATATGGCAAGAACGGCTTCTACAAGTACTGATTTTGTAAGCAAGGGGTATGTATCAGGGTCCATCGTTTGTGCAATGAGGATAGTAGATGGCGTCTTTGCACACCCTTATATGATCTCGTAGAATGCTCGTGCCGAAATGACGAGAAAATCTCATATTGAATACGCCTAGGCATGCTATGGGTGGGCAACTTTAATGCGGATTTGATGCTGCCATGCATATGCAAGGGAATCATGTCAGCATACTACAGTGATCCCGTTATGTTTGAAAGACACATTTTCAGCATGTCTGCTTATGCAACATTACATGGTAAGTATGATGGTGTATTCAAATGTATATGGGTGAAGCTTTATTTACATAAACAAACATCTCAGATGGCCTTCCTTTACTACATGCAAGGTTGAATTATAGATTAAGCGGTTCCTTCTCATGTTAAAAATAGTGTGGCATTCTATCTCGTTTGCAGGCTGGTTGTGTAGGACGAAAATCGGGCGACACTTACTTTGTGTGCATAGTAACCTGAAGGATCCTTTTCCAAATGAGCAATGTCGGACGGCAGAAATCGTTAAGGTTGAGATGCAATGATTCCCAAATGCCTCGCCACGTAATTCAAGGCTGGTAAGCTTGGATAAATACGGAAGAGATCAAAGCCATGGAGAGCCGCGTGAAAGAATCACCTTGATTTCTTGAAGCTTCGATCGAACGCCAAGGTCCACACGGTGTTGAATAAACTCTTCCTCTTCATCACATTCTTCACGATCCGCTTTCATAACAATCCTTTTGACATGCAAGTGTGGGGGCTTCATAAGCTCTTGAAAGACACGTTGTTGACCAGAGCCAGGTACAGTTCCCAATGATTCCATATGAGACGCATGTTCCATCATGCACATGGCAAATGTGATAAAGCTGTCATTGATGTTGGCAGGGTACTGAATCTCATGCAAGTTGTTGAAGGTGACTTGTTTGGTGGCGTCTTGTTCCAGTAGCGTCCCTGCAGTAGTATTGAATCATTTCCCATATATCATTTCAAAGAACCACCATCGTATTGCTGTGCTTCATCATATAGCCAACCATGCCATCCTCATTGTAATTGCTAGATTCTTCAGGAGTCGTCATGGACAATAAACGTAGCCCAGTAGTATCTTCATGCATGTCTTGAATATGAGCTTGATCAAACGGGTGATGGGCTGAGTTGCTGCAATAGTGGGCAATGCTGATCCACCACAGACTAGCTATCCGATCGTGATACAGGAGCCAGCTTCAATACACGTAATTGACGACAGGGTGGAATGATGTCTTGGTTCATCACAATGATCTCATGGGGCCTAGGCACGTCCAATGTAGTAACCTTGGGATAGGTCTTGATAACAGATGCCATGCCAATATCACCGCGCACCATACGTATTGATACAAGGTTGGGGCATGCATCCAAAACATCACATAGGTGGTAACATTTCCATTGGCGCAAAATGGAGCCCATAGTTGATGTGCAGATTCGTCAATGTACTGCCCAATGCGCGTAAAGCTGAAAGTAAAGCTGAAAGTAAAAGCTCGCGTCCACGTGGAATAGATTCTAAAAAAGTACCATTAGACATCTGAAGTCTCCCTTATCCCTCCATCCATCATGATGATAACCTACCATAGATTGCCAATTGATTCAATAATTAGAATCTTCGACGACTGGTGATTGAATAGCATTTCATTTCCTGGTTGTGCAACTATCAATGTCCTCATGAAAGGCACCAAATGGGATACGCGTTGATAGCCATCCTTTGATAAACCTTCATCTCCATCCATCATTATCACCCTTTGTCGCCATGCACGACACACATCAAAATAGTCGCATCGTCTCCCAAGTTTGGCTATCGATTGGCCACCAATCTCCTTGGAACAATGTTTTGCGTCACAACATTCAATGGTAACTTGCTGATGAAATCGATACGCTTGCTCCTCTTGTTGATTGCTGCTGCACGTGCTCTCACAAGTTGTTAACGTCCACAAAGAGAATGAATATGGCTCACCCAGAGATAACCCCTTGCCGAAGAAGGTGCTAGTTGTGTCATAGCGATCGCTTCCTGCATGGCTAGATCGAGTCGTTCAGCTTTCACGAGTGCCGATGTTCTTGCATTCACAGTCGACATGAGCTTTATAGTCTTACGCACGTGTTGTCAGCTCTTCGATCTTGCCGTCTGTCGATGGGTTGCCATTGGCAACGGTAGATTGGGCAGCACACAGAATGTCAACGCATGTCTCGGTCATGGTGGTCGTGGAGGTAAACAGCAACCCATAAAATTCAATGCGAACACCCAGCTTACATGCAGCTGCCTTGTATCACATAGGCTTCGGCTGCCCAACCGGTCAATCATCATATAGATCCTTGCTTCATTCTTTTCAACCTGCTAGTCATCATAGCCTAAGATTCAAACTTCACTTATAAAGCCGATGTTTTTGGATAAAAAAAGCTTATACATTCAAGTTGATTTGAGTAAAATACGAGGTTTTACTATAACAATTGCTGTACTGATTGGCCAAGTGGTGTTGTGTAACCATGCCCTTCATCATCATCGTCCATCATCTACTCAATAAAGCATACGGCATGGAGGAGCCAATTAACGTGACTCTATACAGTTTAATGTGTACAAAGGAATCCACACGCACATGCCATAGAATCCAAAACGCCACAAGATAGGATGCCTTCAATCTCTTTTTTACTGATGTTGACAAAAAAGTTCAGAGGTAATGGAATCAAACAGCCAATGGCCTCATGTAACATGAAAGATGCTGTATAATTGTGAAAATGGTATCCATCTGCCTTCAGGGTAGATCCCAACTAAAACCGAACAACCATCATCATCGTGATCATCACCATCATCATCCATCAGGCTTCATCCGATTCCATTCTAATGTGAGCTCCATGTTTAATCCAATGTGTATGGCTTAGTATTCTACCAAAGGACTTTATTAATAGGATGGTCTTTCTACTTGCAAAGTGCTGAGAGAAGGAAATGAGATGATAAGGTCACGTGAAAGCATTTGAGGCGTGGAAATTCTGACACAGCCCGCTCGCGTCGCTTGCACATCTTTTTCTTGTCCCAAACTCAACTACAACACCTCCCCTTGCCCCTGTGCCTTGGGTATCGTGCAAGCGCACGTAAGGTAAATACAACAAGTATACACAAGCACCCAGTGTACCAATCTCGTCTCTCCATCTAGTGCTGCCATTGTAAACAAAAAGTTTTCCGGAATGAGCCACCCGCTTGACGACATGCTGTTATCAAGATGCCGACTTACCTGAAGCACTCTTATGAAGGAGAAAAGGCAGCTTGGTGCTATCCTGTTCTTATAATTGGTGAGTGGAGTAGCGAGGACGGTGATGATGGTGATGAACGTGCCTAACAAGGGCATCCTTTTTAGTGCGCAAGTACATGCCTGATTTCAAGTGAGCAAGTCCATATCTATTTCAAGTGAGTAAGCGTATGGCTATTTCAAGAGGGCAAGTTCATGCCCATTGCAGAGAGCAAGTCCATATCTATTTCAAGCGACCAGGTCTATGTCTATTCAAAGTGAGCAAGGCCTTGTCTTTTCCAAGCGAGGAAGTCCATGTCTACTTCAAGAGGGCAAACCCATGCCTATTTCAAGAGATGAAGTCCATACCTATTTCAAGAGGGCAAGTCCATACCTATTTCAAGCGAGCACATCCATGCCTGTTTCAAGCGAGGAAGTCCAAGGATATCCAAAGTGATCTCGAGCGTGCCTATTCCAAGAGGGCAAGTCCATATCTATTTCAAGCGAGGAGGTCTGTGTCTAGCTAAAGCGATCAAGTGCATGCATATTACAAGAGGACAAGTCCATATCTATTTCAAGGAGCATCAACAAGGACATCGGATATGCGTGTGTTTCCTTATCCCCATTCACGATTTCCAAAGATGGTCAATCAGTCAATCACAGCTATTTGGCCTTCGTCATTGTGTTCGCCTCTCACATTTGGGAGGCCTTGAGGATTTCATATTATGGATCGGTTGGTTATTTCGAGAACAGTTATTATTTTGGGATTATGGTTCACCAATAAAGATCCCTTTTTGCGGCTCATCATTAGTGTGCACTGTGCACAAATGTCATGCTAACGCGGATGGTCATCATACAGACAGAGAGTTGGATTTGGGTAAGGATATCATGGTTGGGATAAAAGTGTACGTGTCCCTTGATGTGTGGTATGATCAGCATAGCACGGTTTGTGAGGTGGGGAGCGTGTCAGGATCAAATCTATAAGCGGGCCTATCATGGCCTTGTTCTAAAGAACGTCCAAAAGTAGCTCCCATCACCATCCCCAACTAGTACACGTTGTTTCATAGTCCTTGTAATAAAAGAGTCAACCCACTGGAATGCATTTTGACATGTTGAATAAGAAAACTTAAGCATTGCATAGCTTAAGAGCACAATGGAGTTGTAATCCTTAGCACCCGTACACCTTCAAGCTGATGAATTAATTGACGCGTCATCTTTTGTCTCCCACCAACGACTTATAGTGCCTTTTACATTTAAGAATGATTAGTACATACCATCGGCTTGTGGGCGGTCAATAAAGTAGGTATTGAAGCGTTTTGGGATGCATATTGTGTAACGACAGCTGATGATCCATCTCCAAAAAGTAAAAAGGCATAACCATGGTGGAGGCCACATAGCCCAATCCAGGATACAAAGAATGAGTATTTTAGCTGAATGATTACGTTGTATGCATATGGATGTTCATCCATTCAATGACTCCTGATCGATTGCTTTCATTATGATAAAGGATGGGTGACACAAGGATTCGTGCAGGATCTTGTTAGTAGAGTAAAACGGCTGATGTGGGCGATGCATGGCGGCTCACCCATTGTCTTTCCCCCTCGTATTTATAACACCACCCCATATAAATCCATTTACATCAAGCCATTCGTTGCATATGATAAAAGATATTCATATTCAATCATGCAGGGATGGGTGATGATGATCCAACCAGGTCCGATTGCTATAGAAATTGAGGTGGGTGTTCCTTCTTGGTTACCAACACAGCACATAATGTTTCTTTTATCTTTTTGGCCGGACCTCTTCCAACAACCCACGCTTCCAGCTTCCACTGCCAACTATGCACAGCTTGTTCACGATTCAACCACTCAACTACAACAATCCCTTGAATGCATCTTGTCAGCTTTGAATCTACGTTCCATGGCATTGTCAAAATGCGCCAACTTTGATGCTGCTCTTCGCGATGCAAACGCCATGCAACAGCTATCGCCTTCTTCAGCACTTGGATACTTACGTGCAGCCGAAGTTTACAGTGCACAAGGGATACAACGCCGTGTTGTGGATATATGCAACCATGGACTCCGTATGGCCAACACTAAGGATACGCACTATGCAACACTACAACTAGCCAAAGAGGACGCTATGCATCAAAGCAGTAAACGTGTCGACTTTATCAGCCAACTTCCTATCGATATTGTTTTTACAGTACTCATGCCGATGTTTATTGACCGTTATCCTTTGGATGATGAATCTGTACAATTGCGATATTTGCGGGTGTCCAATGTCTGGCATGATCGTATTATCCAGTATCTCGATGGACTACGCTTTAATTCTGTTTTCGAGTACGACCATGCAGCATGGTGTTCATTAGTCAAAAAGTTTTCCCAGGATACGCGGTCATTGAATGTTCGCTATTATTCACAAGGAACATGGCTAAGTGATTTACTACGTGACAATACTTTTTGCTCCTTACGGGAGTTACGTATCCATGGTAAGTTGCTATCCATCTTTTATTATTCTATTCATTCACCATCATTTTCAAAGGCTTCGCGAACCAGCAAATCACCACGTTCGTCTCATCATTAAAGTCGATCGGCAGCACGTTAACGGATCTCCTGATCAGGGTGGAAGATGGCTACGTATTACCCATAGCAGACGTTTTGATGGCTTGCCCCAACCTTGTTTCTTTGGCAATGACACGACCCTCCAATGTCGTCCTCAGCGCCCTGCCTATGACAACATGGTCCAAAATGACAACATTATCGATCACGAATGCAACAGAGGAGATTACCAGTGATCATGTGGTTGAGATTTGGAAACGCTTTCCCTCACTCAAGAAACTTGCACTACATCCATGTTCAGATATCCAATCAGCATTCGTTGTGTCAGACTATTGCCCGTCAATGAGGAAGATCGCACTTGACATGAAGAGTGGATGTACGGCACTTACCTTCTTGGATCAAGAACATGGATCTGAAGAGCACGGGATTACCGATCTTACTTTCGATGGCTACTCACCATTCAGTTTCAGCTACGAGGAGATCTGCAGTCTACTAAAACAGCATCAGAGCACACTACATTTCCTCCAATGGGGTATCGATCTTCATATGGAAAACCACGACATCTACAGCATCCAGTATCCTCAGCTAAAGAAACTTGTTATCCGTTGCTCTGGATGGTGGTTACCAAGGAACGCACCACTGCTAGAAGAATTGGATATAACAACGCGCGCCGTCAATGTCACTGATGAAGAGCTTAGTACGATCCCGCCCAACCTGCAAAAGCTATCTCTACGATTTGATACATCACCGCTACCTGACAAGACCCCCATCATACAATATCTCAATCGCACGGCTGAGCACTCCCATTTTTATCATCTTGTTGTACATTTCCAAATCAAAGACACGTTTGGGGAAATACATGATGCCATTTCTCGTTTGAACCAGCTTGAGCGTTTGACGATCATTTATACATACGATTGGAATTATATGGAAATGGAACGGTTTTTTGGCAAGCTTGTGAAAGGATGTCCTCGTTTGACCCGCCTTGAGCTGAGCGGTACGCCAACGACGTATTCTATCAATGCCTTAAAACAGCTGGAGCACCTTAAGGAACTTAGCTTTTCGATTCATTGGCACGATGGCGATCCACGCTTTTGGGATGCTGTTCAAGCCTTATCACAAGTGAAATGTGTGCGGATCTACCCATCGATTTCAGTCCAGATGAGAAGAATCACGCATCTAAGAGCACAAAGGCCTGACATGAAGGTCATCGTCGACGACGCATTTAGACATTTCTGATATCCAAGGATATGATTGAATGGCGGCCACTGTTCACAAGTATTACCTTCCATAGGTTAGGCTATTAGATACATCGACATGTACACCATACAACTAATAAAAGAGATAACATATGTACATCGTAGTTGGTGACGTTTGATTCTCCCTGATACCATAATTGCAAGAAAACATGATCATGTAGATGATCCCAATTCGCTGCATTGAATGAAATCGCGTGCAGATGACTAAAAAGCATAATGTATAGCGCTATGTGTAGGCTTAAGATCGCCTCCAATCTCTATGCTTTCTAATACAAAGATTCAGAGAAACCACATTTGTGTACGCTAATTTAAAACTTCACGTTGGATCTATTTGCGGAGTAATGAGAAAGTAGGCGATGAAGATTGGATCAGGAATAGGCCATATGCAGAGTGTAGTGTCAGCATCGCATTTAATTGCTACGGTACCTTATACCAATATGGAGCAGAAGAATGGTTTTATATTCGTAAATCAAATTTCAGATAAGGTTGCAATGCGGCCTAACGAAAGAGATCAGAATCACTAAAGCCCAAGATCGTTAAAGAGTGATATTATAGTCCAATTCCAACCAACCTTGATGCTGTTTGATACCAACGTGTAGAGAAACCATGGTTTCATAACCGAATACGGGATATCAGACGAGGTTCACTTGTAGAATGTTGTGATCCAAACAATCCGGCTCCAACGCATAACGAGCAAGATCTCCTAATTCCAATGGATCACGATGCCATTGGCACCACTAGATGCAGAACCTATGGTTTTATAACCGTATACAAAATTTCAGGCAAGGTTGACTTGTAGAATAAAGAGAAAATAAGGGGTCAGTGGTGTGATGATACGTCTATGCTGTGTTTGAATATGATGTGGCTTTGTGTTTTGGGTATAAAAAAAAGTGCAGGGGGGTGAAAAACTTTTTGTTTTTCTTTCCGCAGCTCTTGCTCCCACGGTCTTCAAAGGTAAGTCTTCTTTTCTTTTTTCTTATGTGTGGTGGTATGGGTGAGTGGATGGCGGTGGTGGTGGTGGTGGTGTGTGTGTGTGTGTGTGTGTGTGTGTGTGTGTGTGTGTCACAGGTAGGTGAATGGATGGGCAAGAAGAGGGGATAAAGAGGAATGTGTATGGGTGAGAAGGGTGGGTAGGGGGGGTAGTCTGACCACGACTATAATTTGGACGTCCTGATAACGATGTGAGAGGTGTCCGTCTGCAATGACGTAAACTTGCGTCCTGATAATGACGTTACCACTATCCGTCTGAACACGACGTTAACTTGCACGTCCTGATAACGATGTCTAAGAGGTGTCAGCCCTTGAAAATGGCAATAAACTTTTCCGCCCTTGCTCATGGCGCAAAACTGACCACGTCCGAAACGACGTTAAACTGGGTGCGGATTGCCAATCACCTCCCCGTGGTCGCACCTGGAAACCATCTTCATTGATGGGCTAAGAATTGGCACAGCTAGTTGTTTACTTTTATTAAATAAAGCTTTTCTTATATACAAAAGCATCTATTATGGTCATCTTATTATATAAATAATACAATGTCTATAGCCACATAGTCTTCTCTTTTATATGTTGTGGCTTTTATATATGAAATAAACAATCATTGACCCACACATAGTGATAGTAATACCTTGGGTTGCCATGGAAGCAGCTAAGAATGGGATGTTTTGGGTGGGCCTGTGTGTAGAAAGGTGCATGTGGAGATGGGTCATTTTCATTTGTGTGCATCAAAAGGGTATGCGTACACCATGTACTCAGCTTCTCTTTGCTTGGTTCTATCCAGACTCGACAACAACAACTGATCGTAATTCGACATTGGAAAGGAGCTCATTAGCAAACGTTGTGTGGTGGAGGGTGTTCATAAAGGTGCGTATCGTCGTAATAGAGTGCAAAAGTAGACTTGCCTTTGTTGGCTTTGTATACTGATACGGTTGTGTTTTCACAGCTTTTTTGGGTTCAGCAATGTCGACAATTTCAAGATTGAGGAGGAATGTGGAACGAGATTCTGCTCAAGAACGGCAACGAGTGCTCTGTTGAAGTGGGAAGTTAAAGCGAAGGTGCAAGGTTTGTAGCAAGGCAGTGGTTGGCATGGACACCGGTCATTGACGAGCCTATTGGAACTAGCACCAGCAACTTTTATTCGGGCGTACCAATCACGTGAGGTCATAGTCGTGCAAGAAGATGAAAGGATACATGGACATAAAGAAATGCAATGCGTACGTACAATGCTATAGGAAGCAGCAAGGTATGCAATTGGACCATAATCAATGGAGCAAACAAGTAAGACAAGCAATTAACGGTACGATATGGGTATATGTAGTTGGATGGCCTGTCAAGATGCAGCAAGCATGGTATGTGGATTATTGCTATGCAACGTGGCGTTGCGATTTACTTGAACCTTTCCATATAGGAGAAAAGATACAGCTGTGAGCGATTACATTGATTGTATTGAGATTGGATCGGGGCATATGGTAGGTACATGTTCCACAATCGCTCTTTGAGAGGAAATGCTCGCGTATGGTTGCTAATGCAGCTCGCTTTTGTGTTATGTCTCAGGCTTTGTATCAGTGATCCAATATTGATGACTCTCTAAGCGTTCATCACTCGTAACCTGGCAATCGGTTCGCTGTCATGGTTCGTCTCTTGGTTACGGCATGGGCGATACAGCTTCTTCTTTGAACACCTCGAGAGGTCGAATAGCCTTCACAGCAACACCTCCACACATAGCCAAGTTGATACCCACAAGATGATTATGATTTGCAGCTGGATGAATGAATGGATAAACACGATCGTCAACAATCGCTATCCCTTCAACACATGACCCTGGATCTATGGTTCCTTTTGGTATGGGATGAAGTATGGGTGTTGGTCGACCGGAGAGAATACAATGAGGGTGGCGCGTGTAATAGCGACTGTGGATGGATGGAAGCCATTTTGCGACATTACAGAAATCTTCGGAAACAAACCAAGAGGATGCATTTTGTGACATGGTAGCAAAGAAGTATCCACGTCATCCCCATTCAAGTGGCTACATAGAAAAGGCAGCACCAATGGCATCTACAAATGGAACACTATCATCGTCGTGGCAATAGTTTTCGGTTCATCCACAATACAAGATGCACAAACAGCAGCTAGCGTTGAGCTATATCATTGTATGCATGGGACTGGATGGTGGCAAGAAAAATCGGCACAAGGCCAACCTATTCACCATGATCCACCAAAAGCAGAATGACAATGAGATTTTGGTGGTCACTTGGGATCATTGCAGCAGAGCATGGATATCGATGGGATTACAACAAACATGGATAAGAAGGATACCGGCTGCCACAATACAATGCTCCAGTCACCATCACCACCAGCATGATGCAGGATACATGCTTACTATTCCATGAAACTATGCACGTTACATCCATTCATTCCTTCAACAATCCAAAGATGCTAGAATTGGAAAGTGGAATAGATAGGAGGATATCCATTTAGCTAAAGCCTTTCGAGCTAGCTAGCCTGCCGGTATTAATCTTTGAATATATATACTTTCAACTTCATGTTCAGCTCTTGTGCGATACGTTTGACAATCACCAAAGATCACTTGTTATTCAAGCCGATCCTTCACGCATGGTAAAAGCATAAAGTTGGCCGTTCCTTAAAATCTCACAATGAAGAATGTGGTCTTTAATAGAACCAACATGCTCGGCATGGCCAAAAGTATCTTGTGTGCACGCTTCACGTTCATCATGGGCAATCGCAAATTTCGCGTTTGTCGATGTCACCCAAAAAGAAGTTTCAAGAGCCTGACCTGATTTCATTTTGGCTGGTGGTGACATGGCCAAATTTGAGATTGACGAGGTCAATGCTGAAACGTGAACACAAGGTTGCTTGAGCTAGGCTGAGCACGTTGCTTCCAAAAAGAGCCCATGCTTCATTGAGAGTTTTTGCGCTATGGCTGCCTTTATGCTGTAAACATGATACTATATGAGAAAGGCATCTTTTTGAATTGTCAATCATATAACCACTTATAGTGCAATAGCTGGTGAACGTCGTGTTTGGGTACGAAAGCAAAGAAAAACAGGATTAAAAGGCCAATGTATCATATGTGCTCAATAGCTGATGGTCATTCATACATTGCTCGCTATCAGCCAATTCCACCCAATCCAGCCCATTGTGGATTTGATAACATATGAAAAATGCGTCTGCTGCAAAGATTCATTTCCTATATTCAGGTATCTTGATCCGAGCCGATTTGAGGAGAATACGGCCAAGTAACGGGTACATCGGTTCCAACATGCAACGTATACGGGTGTATGGAGTAGACAAAACCTGGTCTAAGCGTATGTCATCCAAACCAGCTCGGATCAAGATAATTGAATGATGGAAATGTTGGGCTGGAGCAGGAGCATTCACCAATGCTGCCGAATCCTCAATGGGCTCAATTGGGTGGGATTGGTTAATAGCGTCCAATCTATGAATGACCGTGATACAGTGGAGCCATATCATCCATCCCTGTTTTAATCCTTTTTTCTTCGCTTTCGTATACAAACACCGCCTTTAGCACCTATCTCACTATAAATGTACATATCAGTCACAATGGAAAAAGACCCATCTTTATAATAGCAAAACATACACGCACCTGTAACTCAAAACCTTTCAATGAAGCATGGGCTCTTTTTGATACCAGCATGCTCAGCATGGTCGGAACTACCTTGTGTGAAAGTATCAAGCTCGAACTCGTCAATAGCAATTTTTGCATTTGTCCATGTCAGCCAAAAAGTTTCAAGAGGTCGACCTGTTTTCATTTTGGTAGTGACATGGCCAAATTTGAGATTGACGAGTTCGATCCTAAAACTGGCACACAAGGTTGCTTGAGCTGGGCTGAGCACGTTGGCTCCAAAAAGAGCCCATGCTTCATTGACAGCTTTCGAGTGATGGATGGCTCCCTTCATGCTGTAAACATGATGCTATATGACAAAGTCGTCTTTTTCCATTGTCACCCATATAACCACTTATAGTGCAATAGCTGCACGAGGCTGTGTTTGGGTAAGAAAGCAAAGAAAACAGCATTAAAAGAGCAATGGATCATATGTATACGCCATGTCACAGTCATTCATACAGTGCTAGCCATTAGCCAATTCCACCCAATCAAGACCATCATGGATTCGATAACGTATGCAAAATGCACCTGCTCCAAAGAGCCATGTCCATCATTCAGGTGTCTTGATCCGAGCCAATTTGAGGAAATCACAGCCACGTAATGGGTACATGGGTTCCAACATTCAACGTATATGGATGTATGGATTAGAGAAATTTTGGTCTAAGCGTAACTCATCCAAATCGGCTCGGATTAATGTAATTAAACCATGGAACAGAACCTTGGAGCAGGCGCATTCACCACACGTTGTTAAATCCACAATGGGCTGGATTGGGTGGAATTGGCTAATAGCTTGCAATGCATGAATGACTATGATACAGTGCACCTATATGATCCATTGCTGTTTTAATCCTTTTTTATCCGCTTTCGTATACAAACAACGCCTTTAGCACCTATCTCACTATAAAGGTACATATCAGTCACAATGGAAAAAGACCCACGTTTGTAATAGCAAAATATACATGCACCTGTAACTCAAAACCTTTCAATGAAGCATGGGCTCGTTTTGGAACCAACATGCTCAGCATGGTCAAAAGCGCCTTGTGGGAAAGTTTCCGGATCGAACTCGTCAATAGCAATTTTTGCATTTGTGGATGCCAGCCAAAACGTTTCAAGAGGTCGACCTCTTTTCATTTTGGGCAGGTGGTCACATGGCCAAATTTGAGGTTGACGAGTTCGATCCTGAAACCGGCACACAAGGTTGCTTGAGCTGGGCTGAGCACGGTGGTTGCAAAAAGAGCCCATGCTTCATTGACAGCTTTAGAGTTATGGATGGCTGTATCTACGCTGTAAACATGATGTTATTATAAAGTCATCTTTTTCCATTGTCACTCATAAACCACTTATAGTGCAATAGCTGCACGAGGCCGTGTTTGGGTAAGAAAGCAAAGAAAACAGCATTAAAAGAGCAATGGATGATGTGTATACGCCATGTCACAGTCATTCATACATTGCAAGCTATTAGCCAATTCCACTCAATGAAAACCATCATGGGTATGACCCCATATGAAACATGCACCTGCTCCAAAGATTCACTTTGATGGTTTCATTACATTGATCCGAGCCGATTTGAGGGGATTACGGCCAAGAAGCGGGTACATCGGTTCCAACATGCAACGTATACAGATGTATGCAGTAGCAAAAACCTGGTCTAAGCGTAACTCATCCAAATTGGCTCGGATCAATGTAATTAAACCATGGAACGGAACCTTGGAGCAGGCATATTCACCACACGTTATCAAATCCACAATGGGCTCAATTGGGTGGAATTGGTTAATAGCGTCCAATCTATGAATGGCCGTCAGACAGTGTACCCATATGATCCATTGCTGTTTAAATCCATTTTTCTACGCTTTCGTATACAAACACTGTCCTTGGCACGTATCTCACTATAGGTGTAGGTATGAATGACAATGGCCAATGCCCACTTTATAGCAGCTGTCCAAAACATAAAAGCGTCTGTAACGCGAAAGCTTTCAATGAAGCATTGGGTTTTTCATAGAATCAATTTGCTCGGCATGGTTCAAAAGTACCTTGGGTGCAAGTTTCAGGATCGAGATCGCCAATACCGGTTTGCGCCATTGTCGATATCAGCCAAAACGTTTCCGGAGGTCGACCTCATTTCATTTGGGCTTGTGATGACAAACACGATTTTTTAATATTGACGATCTCGAGCTTCATACTTTCGCACAAGATACCTTTGACCACGGCAAGCAACATTGTTCTAGTAAAGACCCCTATGCTTCATTGCGACATTTTGAGTCGTGGCTGTCTTTATGCTCTAGACATGATTGCCATATGAAGAGTTATCTTTGTTCTTTCCCAATCGTCTCATTCATACTGTAATACAGCGGCGATTGAAGTAACATTATCAAGAACCCCAGCTTGATGCAAGATTGGATACCCACAACACAAGTACTACCGCGTATGCCTTTTATTTATACAGATTTCCTCATGTACGATATCCATTCTACTATATCTGGTATAACGTGTTCCATGATGGGCATAGCGATCTTGCTTTTATACGTTGCACCTTATATAGATGAGTGTCCCACCATTCATTCTGGCACCTCTTGAAGGGCAAAAAGAGTAAATCATGTTGTCATGGAGACATTGGTTGCGATAGCGGTGTGTATGTTGGTTGCATGCATGCATGTATTATTGGCTATGTCTAATTTCCATGTGTTTGTGTCAAAAAGGTGCTTTGTCTACTCAGCTTCCCCATTACTGCTTCTTACCCAGACCTCACAACAGCGCGATCGTGGTTCGACATGGGAGCCCCTCATTAGCCAACTCCATATGCGCAAGGGTGTCAATGAAGGTGAGCAACGTGTTAATAGAGTGCAAATGTATGGTTGCCCTTGTTCGCTGTGTATACTGATATGCGTGTCTCCTCACAACCTTTTTGGGTCAGGAATGTCGACAATTTCAAGATTGAGGAGGAATGTGGAAAGAGATTCTGTTCAAGAAGGGCAAAAGGTGCACTGTTGATGGGGTAGGCAAGATGACTGGAAACGTGTGCAGCAAAGGGATTCATTGATGTGCTCTATAGGCGTGTTTCTTGTACTCACTAGCAGCAACCTTTATCCGCGACTTGATCACGTGCCAGCAAGGCAACAACAGAGCATGGGAGGATGTTTCGGCTTATGGTATGTACAAAGAGCAGTGGTGCTGAAGGAAGGCAAGGGAGTGGATCATAAGAGGATGATTAATGGATTAAAGCAAGGTCCTCAAGAATTGCCATTATCATTGAATTTGTTCATTCCTGGCGATGTGGATACATTGGATGGGATGGGACCAAGCATTGGCATGTGCACTGTAGCAATGCAAGGCGTAATGCTGATACGTTTGCTCCTCTTGGAATGTGCCTCAAGGCCATGCAGCATGCAAGTACATACATCGTATTTTGGAGAAGCAAACTGCATAGAAGGAAGGACGTCAATGAGAATGGGAGTGAGTAAGAATGGGAAAGCGTATGGAGGGCATCTTTTTATGTTCGCAGTGTGAACTTACTTCCCTATCTTATTAAAGCTTTTTGGTTTGCGAATGGCGACTCGCCAGCGATGGGGAGGAATGAGCAAGGGAATCTGTTCAAGGGTTTCCAACGTACAGAGAAAGAAGGGATCAGTAACGCCTTCAAATGTGTATGGCAAAAGGGAACAATGGCACTATGGATTGACGAGGTTGGAATGCTAAAACAAGAAGTTTTGAGGTTGGGCATCAACACACGATATGGAGGCTAGCAGCAAGCGCGTGATCAGTCATTCCAGTTATCCAAGATGCATCTATACAACGCAACAATGAATGAGAGTGGATGATTGGCGTATTCGCGTTGGGTCGAAAGAGGATAGTCAACAAGCACAGCCTTTGGATTTATTGTAACGGCATGGGTTACTTCGTGATCAACATTGAAGGTGGATGATGATTAGATATACAATGATGGAGCTACGTGGATGGACGCTATACAACAGACAATGGGATCCGCTTTATGGCCATCAACAAATCATCGTTTCCAGTGGAGGCAACAATTGCGAGAAGCTGTTGAGCAATGTGTGTATGATGTTCGTTTCGTTGGCGGGCATGTTTGGATCGTCTTTTCTTTCAACTGCGTCACGCACGAAGGGGTCAATGTGTTTACAGCAACTCGATTCGAGGTCTGATTTAGTCAGTGGCAACACGTCTTGTTATATGTACAGCATCAGTATTCAGCCCGCCTATATATAATTGGAAAAGCGAATGAGGTCTGAAGATCAACTACACTTATGCCCGAAGGCAACACTTTTTGGTCGTTATGGATATCCAATGTGCGATACATACAACGACTGGTACTATGACGTTATCCAACATTCGCAACGAATATCAATGGCAACATGGTGGCATCATCCTGAGGTTGTAATTCAATGCAAGGCAATCACTATATCGCTCTTGGTGCCGAGAGTACAGTTGGAGCTCATAACAGGATGCAAACGTGAGCCATATTGGTGACAGCAATGTTAATGGGTTTACTAGCGAGGCGGTCAAGGAATCTTAGTGTTCAACTGGAGCCATCAATGCATTCTTACTATAGCTCACATCCCAGAAACCAGTTGAAGATTATGCCATCCATTACACTAGCTCTGATATTTTGTGATTAAAAATGATACAGACTCCACCATCCTTTTTTTTTTGTGTAAGGCCCGTGGGCATTTACTGTAATACGACCTCGTATCGCAGAGTGACGTGGCCGTGGCAGATACAAAAAGTAATCAAATGAAAGAAAGTAAATGTCTATATATAAGGTAGCTAATTATACTGATAAAGAAGAATACAGATGGCTGGCATGTGCAGCCACGGCTATAGAGATAAAAGTGGTATTGTTGAAAATGAAAGCCCAATGGGCGCACCATATGGCTTGGAGAATGCATGAACAAAGGGTAGCTTGTTGTCGTTGTTGTTGAGCAGAACCAGGAAATTGGGCGGTACGAAGACATTGAAAAAGCGATGAGAGATCCGGATCCGCAAAGTGGATGGGTCTCCAGACCTGTTGCCAAACTTCGCCTTTTTTGGGGCATCCCATGAGAAAATGAAAATCGTCATCACACGTCGTTAAGCAAATACGGCAGAGATGAGAGGTGACAAAAGCAGGAGCGATGTGATGAACACGACTGGAAGTAGGAAGACGATCGTGAAGAAGGCGATACCAAACATTCCGTGCTGTATGATTCATAGATGTACGCCAAAATGTAGTCCATGACACAGAGGAGTTATCCGATGGATTGTCTGGAGCGATGAGCTTTCGGTATGTTTTTGAGCGCCACATGTTGCCATCCATTGCTTCAACAAAAGAACTTGTCAAGATGGATGTATCGGGCAAACGAGATGATGTGTGTACGTGTGTCGCTTGTGTATGGTCGCACAGGCGTGCAAAGTACGAGTGAAGCTTAAGGCGATCTTGATCCATGTGAGCTCGAAAACGTGATAAGAGGAGAGGATATTGACAACCATCTGCTCTGGTCTGTAGACTCCACCATCCTTTTGGTACGAATTATATGGATCAATGTGTACGAGTTCGTAAGGCTTCATATAAAGTATTATTTTGGGGTATATGGAGGGCAACGCTATCTCGATTTATTTGTGCAATGTCATGTGGTGGAAGGAAGTGGGAATTATCTCAGCATATGGTGGGGCTCTAACTCCTTTATACTGGGGAACTGCTTGCGAAGAATGTCAATAACCAAAGCGTCCAGGCTGTCGAATGGGATTTGTATATGGAGAAGCTGGGTCAATTCAATTAACGAAAGTGCAGCCATGGTCGATAGTCGACTTGCATCGATGATAAGAGACTCGAGAGTGTGCGCATGTTGTAAGCGAGCAAATACAGGATCTTCAATGCGCCGTCGTACAAAGCTGATTTTCAGTTGCTTTATTTTCATCACGTTGGTGGTAGCAATTGAGTCCATAATCAAGGGTAATAGTGAATCAAGCGACACAGCGATATGCAAGTCCTCCAGTAATGTCAATTGTGTGATAAGCGGTAAAAGTTGCTGAGCGCATTCCTCAGTCCATGGTGCTATCGCCAGCGACCGCAATGCCGAATAACCACCCCTTTCAATATGCGTATTGAGGAATCGTCTCAAAGCATCCACATTTTGGTCGTCTTCACCCATGATCACAGTTGTGTTGACAAGAGTAGTATAAGATGACATGAGGTCAAGTGATTCTTGCTCATCCCACTTTAGAAAAGGAGGAACCGATTTGATCGTCTCAAGGCAGGGCGAACGACGTACAATGCTGAGAAGAAAATCACGACCATCATCATCATATTGTGACTCAAATGACAAACGAATCAAATGCGAGAACGATGTATCGTGCGGCAGAGGCATGGCGTGATGAAAATTGGCATAGATATTCTCGCCAATATGTAGATATCTCAACGTCTTGGATGCATGCACCAAGTTTTCAATCATGTGCAACGGAACATCATCATCGCATTCGCTATGGAATGAAAACTCCTGGATGCCCTGTTCCAAGCTCGTATCCCATTCGTATGGCCATTCGATCACGTCATCATGCGGTGCGTTGTACTTGAGGTATTTTAGCGACGGGCAATAGCTGCTGACTCGCTTCAGGTAGTTGATGTCGCGGATGCCTTCAATGGAGAAAACAACGAGGCAAGGCAACTTGACAAGCAGTTCATCGATTTCATCTTCGTCATCTCGTAGTTGTAATACGCGTAGTTGATGATATTGCTTTGTAGTCGGTCCATTCAACACGCAACCACTCCACTTCAAGCTCACAAGGTTTGGACAACGTTCCATGACTTCATCCAGGTTGTAATTGTGTCTTACGGCAGAACATACGCCACGTGCACATGTCGTCTCATAGCCATGTATACAAGATGTCGTGTCAGTAGGTATATCTATGCAGCACCTTTGTATGAACAACGGCGTGTGTTGAAAAGCATAAAATGAAACTTACGAATGCAAAGATGCTTGAGATTGGCAAGATGTATCCCAAGTAATGCTGAAAATGATATGACATTGCCATGGATCGTCATTGTTCGAATACGAGAAGCATGTGAGGAGGTCGCCTTATCATGGTCAAGTATCTTTGTTGCTGGTAGCGAATACGACAAGAATGGTGTGGTTTCGAGAATTGTTTGGCGCCAATGCTTTGACACATATAAAAACGTAGGTGTCGTATCATCCTCCATGTTGGAAACGATTCCCCAAAGATAGTCGACAACGTGGATGGCAATATCGAAAGGAAGTCTGCTGATGAAGTCGATCTTCGTTATGCTGTCATTGAGTGTTGCCATTGATGCTGCCGATTCATCCATATTATCCCAAAGCCTCTTGACCTTGACAATCAAACGTTCATAAAAGGTAGCTGTTGACAATGCTGGAGCCATAGACTTCATTTCTTTTGCAAAAGACAGTGCTTCATCGACCTTTTTCATAGAAAGTAACCTTCCTAGCTCGGCACCCATAGGTCTCAAGAGTTCCTCATTGACATTCAGCGATTCGCCAACTTCATGATCTTGGCTCCGATTCCTCATGGGGTACTCCATTGCTGAATAAAAGGTGTTGTCTTCGCTGTTGTAGAAGTCGTTGTTGAAAGAGAAAGTGCGTAGAAAAGAGAGGGATCTGAATATGGCTATGGGAGCGGGAAAAGATGTCTCATGATTGAGTATGGAAATACAAGCGCTCTTGTGTCACGTGAATCTGCATGATTGGAAATCATCCTCCTTTGTGAATGGTACCTTGACTTTAGTTAATCCATTGCTCAATAAAAGCAGCCCATCGAAGAAATTGATCCAGTTTTCCTTTTTAGATTTCTACGTGAAGAAATGGTATAGATCAATAAAGCCATTTATTGAAAATACGGCAGCAACAGCTTCATGTGTTGAGCCTGCAAGGTAAGGATTATATTGCAGGGTTCATTGTTTGTGTAGTGAGAATAGAAGACGCGCCTTTTGCATATGCATTTGAAACCTTTATATGATCTCGTAGACTACGCACCTCTAATGACGAGCAGATACCATACACGATATCCTTACGCATCCTATGGGACCATGATGCAATCTCGGTGCTGTAGGTATGCCCAGGAATCGTGTCACCGTATACCTTATTGATACCGTCATCTTCTTAATAGACACGTTTACCGCATACCTATCTATGCAACTTCACATGGCATTGGTGGTATTATTCAAAGGTATATAGGTTCAGCTTTATTTAGCTAATCAAATATCTCCAAAGTGCCTCTGTTGAACTCTACTTAAAGGGGTTGCTCACGTTATATAGGAAAGCCACTAAATCTTCTCGACCGTGATTGTCCCAAATGAAAGCCGGCAGGACACTTCCTTTGCGTACATATTACCTTGAAGGATCCTTTTTCTAAAGCAGCAATATCGGACTCCACAAATTGATAAAGGTTGAGATGTAATGATTCAAGGGTTGTAACGTCAGTTGAAAACGAAGATGCGCCACCCCCTTTCATTTCAGCCGCAGTGATAATGATTCGTTTAAGATTGTGATGCACGCGCATTGGGATAAGGTCTTCATAAGTGACCATACTTTTGAGATGGCTTGTGAATGTGAGCTGTTCGAGAGCTGGGCATCCATCCTTAAGGTCTTCAATAAACTTCACTAGGATTGGGAAGACATTCTTTGTATCGGGACATAATTCAAGGCTGGAAAGCTGGGATAATTTCGGAAGATACGAAAGCCATGGTGAGCGATGTGAAAGAATGACTTTGATCTCTTGAAGCTTCGATCGATTGCCAATGTCCACGTGATGTTGCATAAACTCCTTTTCGCCATCACATCCTATACGGTCCGATTTCATACCAACCCTTTTGAGATGCGGGTGTGTGGGCTTCATAAGCTCTTCAAAGACACGTTCTTGAGCAGGACCAGCTACGGTCTCCACAGATTCCAATTGCGGCGCATGTTGTATCACCCACAAAACAAATGAGATAAACCTGGGATTGACGTTGGCAGGGTACCGGATCTCACGCAATTTGTTGAATGTCACTTGTTGAATGACGACTTGGTCTAGCAGCATCCCTCCAATTGTATTAAATCCTTTTCCATATTCGAAGTCCAAGATCTCAATCGTTTTGCTGTGATTCATCATATACCGGATGACATCATCCTCTTTGTAGGTGCCGGAACTGCTGGAAGTTGGAATGCACAATACGCGTATCCCGGTATCATGTTGCATGGGTTGAAAGTGAGGTTGATGGAACGAGGGCCTGGATAAGATGAGGTGCTGTAATAATCGGCAATGTTGGTCGATCGCTGGCAAGATATCTGATCCTGATACAGGAAACAACTTCAAAGCACGTAGTTGAGGAAAGGGTTTTAGGAGAGATGAAATGCTGCCTTGGTCTACTCTAGTGCTCTTTTTGGGTTGTGACACGTCCAACGTGGTAAGCTTGGGATAGGTCTTGGTAACAGAGGTCATGTCAATATCACAAGCCTCCACATGTATTGATACAAGGTTGGGGCATGCATCCAAAAGATCGCATAGGCGGAAAAAGGCTCGCGTTGGTGATCGGTAGTGCCCGTATTCAATACGCAGATCAGTCAATGTGCTGGCTACTGTGTGTAAAGCTGAAAATAAAAACTCTGGTCCATGTGAAATACATTCTAATACATATGATTAGACTTTTGCAGTACTCATCGAAATGATCACGATAACATACGATAGATTGTCAATTGCCTCAATGATTCGAATCTCCCACGGCTGATGATTTTGGACAACATTTCATTTCCAGGTTGTGCGACTGTCAATGCCCTTATAAAGGGTGCCAAATGGGATACGCGTTGATAGCCATCCTTTGGTAAAGCTTCATCTCCAGCTTCAAATTCCAAGCCATGCATCATCGCCATCCTTTGTCGCCATGTACGACACACATCAAAATAACTCCATCGTTTTCCAAGTTTGACTATCGTTCGTCCACACAATATCCTGGGAACAATGTTGTCGACTACTATCTCCAATGGCAGCTTGCTGACGAAATCAATACCCTTGTTCACCTTGTTGATTGCTGCTGCACGTGCTCTCACAAGTAGTTGACGTCGAGGACTCGTGCTGGGTACATGTTCCAATGCTGTATCATAAATCGTGATAGCTGACGTGTAGTGTCCACGAAGGGAATGAATAGAGCTCGCCAAGAGATAGCCGTATGCCGAAGAAGGTGCTAGTTGTGTCATAGCGATCGCGTCCTGCATGGCTAGATCGAGTCGTTCAGCTTTCACGAGTAGCGATGCTCTCTCATTAAGAGTCAACACGAGCTTGTCGATATAGTCATGAGCAGGGATTGTCAGGTCTTTCATCTTGTCGATATAATCTCTGGCATTGGTTGTCAGGTCTTTGATCTTGTCGTCTGTCGACGGGTTGCCATTGGCAACGGCAGATTGGGCAGGACACAGAATGTCGATTCGGGTCTCGAACATGGTGGTCGTGGGGGCTAAACAGCAACCCATACAATCACTCTGCCAACATTCAGTTTACATGTAGCTGCATTGTGTTACATAGGCTTCAGGCTTAGCAATCAATCATCATATACATGTATGCGTTTTTTCTTACACCTCCGGCTTAGCAATGAAGCATCGTATATATGTACTCTCTTTTTCTTATCACCTTGCTAGGCACTATGCTCTAATATTTGGAATTTGCCTATAAACCGATTTTTTGGATATATCAGCTTATACATCCAGGGTGATTTGAGTAAAGTAGAAGGGGTTACTATAACAATTGCTGCATGAGCTGCTGTGTAACCATGCTCGTCATCTCCGTCCATCATCTACTCAATAAAGCATTCAGCATGAAAGAGACAATTATCGTGAAGCTATACAGTTTAACGTGTACAAAAGGAATCCACATGCACATGCCATGAATCCAAAACGCCACAAGGTAGGATGCCTTCAATCTCTTTTAATTACTAACATTGCTTGAAACGTTCATGGCTAATTGATGCAAACATACTTTGGCCTCATGTGACATGATGATTGTGTTGTCTAAATGAGAGAAAGAGAGCCACATGTCTCAAGCAATTTATAAAAGGTCCCAATTAAAACCGAAAAAGTCATCACCATCATCGTCATCATCATCATCATCATCATCATCATCATCATCATCATCATCATCATCATCATCATCATCATCATCATCATCATCATCATCATCATCATCATCATCATCATCATCATCATCATCATCATCATCATCATCATCATCATCATCATCATCATCATCATCATCATCATCATCATCATTCATCAGGCTCCATCCGGTTCCATTGTAATATGAGCTCCTCATTTCGCTCAAAGTGTATGGTTTAATATTCTCCCAAAGGATTTTATTAATAGAATGGTCATTCTACTTGGAAAGTGCTGAGAGAAGGAAATGAGATGATAAGGTCACGTGAAAGCATTTGAGGCGTGTAAATTCTGACACAGCCCGCTCGCGTCGCTTGGCACATCTTTTTCTTGTCCCCAACTCAACTACAACACCTCCTCTTGCCCCTGTGCCTTGGGTATCGTGCAAGCGCACGTAAGGTATATACAACAAGCATACACAAGCACCCAGCGTACCAATCTCGCTTCTCCATCTAGTGCTGCCATTGTAAACAAAAAGTTTTCTGGAATGAGCCACCCGCTTGACGACATTGCTGTTACCAAGGTGCCGAGCTGTCTGGAACACTGAGGGACACCATATCAAGGAGAATGACCAGCTTCATGATTACTGAGAATTGGTGAGTTGAGTGGGAAGGGTGATGATGATGATGAACGAGCCTAACAAGGGGATCCTTTTTTTAGTGCGCAAGTGCATGCATGCTTTCAAGTGGGCAAGTCCATATCTATTTCAAGTGAGCAGCCTATTCAAGAGGACAAGCCCATGCGTATTTCAGAGAGCAAGCCCATATCTATTTCAAGCGAGCTAGTCCATGTCTTTTTCAAGCGAGGAAGTGTATATCTATTTCAAGAGGGCAACTACATACCTATTTCAAGCAAGCTCATCCATGCCTACTTCAAGCGAGGAAGTCTATGAATGTCTAAGGTGATCAAAGTGCAAGCCTATTACAAGAGGACAAGCCCATATCTATTTCAAGGAGCATCAACAAGGGCATCGGATATGCGTGTGTCTCCTTATCCCCATTCACGATTTCCAAAGATGGTCTATTACAGCCACTTGGTCTTTGCCATTGTGTTCGCCTCTCACATTCGGGATACCTTGAGGATTTCATATCATGGATCTGTTGGTTATTTCGGGATTGGTTATTATTCTCGGATTACGCTTCACGAATAAAGATCCCTTTTTGCGGCTCATCATCGGTGTACCCTGTGCGCACATGCCATGTAAACGTGGATGGTCATCATGCAGGTTGTGAGTTGGATTTAGATAAGGGTATATCATGGATGGATAAAAGGATATATGAGCCTTGACTTGCCATGATAAGCAAAACGTGGTTTGTGAGGTGGGGAACGTGTCAGGATCAAATCCGTAAATGCGCCTATCATGGCCTTGGATTAAACTTTGTACAGCCATATCATCATCCCATTGAAACTTCCCAAAGTAGCTTTGATCGCCATTCATAACTAGTACACGTTGCTTCATAATCATGTTAATAAAAGAGTCACCGTTAAAATGTATGTTTGACATGTTGAACAAGGAAAACGTAGGCATTGCATAATATAAGAGCATAATGGAGTTGTAATGCCTAACGCCTGTACACCTTCAAGCACATGAAATTATCAACTCGTCATGTTTTTTATTTCACCTACATCTTACTGTGCTCTTACGAATGACTAGTACCTTCGCTTGTGGGTGGTCAATAAAGTAGGCAAGAAAGGAAACTGTATCCGATCATCATCTTTTTGGATGCATGCTGTGTAACGAATGGCGATCCATTTCCAGAAAGAAAAAGGAATAACAATATGGGTCCAGGATGCAAAGAATGATTATTTGGCTGGATCATTACGTTATATGCATATAAAATTGTATCATGTTCATTTTAAACGATCACCATGTTCATCCTTATCAATTATACGCCACGTTTATTACAGGAGAAGCAAAGGCTACACTAAGCTAGCTAGCAAGACAACAACGCACATGTCCACCTTACATATCCATAGCATATCCATTGCATCCCCATCCAACGCGAATAGCTCCTTGAATTGCGTGCGTGCATACTTACAAAACCTGGCCCTCCTTAATCAAGCATATCCACAAGATCAGCAAACCAAACCTACCTCAGTTCTACAAAGCATCCTCACCAAGGAATATACAGCTTGGTTCCATGAGCCGTCAAACCCAGCATTGCTTCCAAAGGCATGCCGCAATCCATCAACATTCGACGCCAACAGCTGCTTGAGATTGAATCATAAAGTGCTTGGGTAATCCATGGCTTGTAGCTTGTGCGATTTGCCTGATGACTAACATGTTGAAACTTATATATCCAATCCAGTCTAATGGTTTTGCTGCTGTTGCTTGGAGATCTGACCATTCAAAAAGATGATGATTGATTATGATGAGCAGCTTGAACCATGCAATCGCTCTGCAAACCCTGGCAACTTTTACGCACACGATAATACACCTACCAGCATCTATAACCATGCACATATCCATTGGTTGCGTGGCAGAGCGTACATACTCCATAGCTGCGTTGGACACATTTGGACGAGTCAAGGTTCTCAAGTTGACTACATTGTGAAATCGCTGAAGCGATGCTCATTGTCAACGATCGGTTTTCAGTGGAGGTGTTGTTGTGAAATGTCAAAGTTGTGTAGCGTGGTATAAAAGAGGAAGTCGAAACAAAGCCCAAGGAAAAGGCGAAGAAGAGCAGTTGGCTTTAGTGATGACGTGTAACGAGAGACGAATGTTGACATGGTTGGGTTGGCAGATGGCGAACACGGAATGAGCAATGTGGAGAAGGAGTGAAAGTGAAGCTGTAAAGAGAGGCGTGTAGTATAAAGAGCAAGAAAGAGAAAGGGGTCATTTTTGATTGAGAGTCATTTGGCGGAAGAATTCTTATGCATGTGCGGGGGGTGACGATCACCTTACTCTTGCAAGGCTGCATGTTGATAGCAATTTCAAGCTTTATCAACGAAGATGCTCGATATGCGTGTGTCATATAGAGTGATTGATAGCTTTATTGAATAAATCTATGGCCTTTATTATGAACATGTCTCATTGTATTGCATTAACTATGTATGGGATAATCCAAAGTATCATCTTTTTGTAGATGTCTGAAAATGCGTTGTTGACCACCACCAATCAACGAGTGCCCCTCCCACCAGAGAGTAATTGCATGTTTGTGTGTTGATGAGAGCTCCAAATCTCATGTTGGCAATCCATCCTTTTCTCCAACGGTGTCTTTTGATGCCGCATTCACTATCATGTGACCCAAATATCAGCATCCACGTTGGCAAATTGCAATCCACACCAATCACACTTACAACTCCTCTGCCAATGCACATTTTCCATTGTCCCTTGTCCCGAGGGCTTGGTCATTCACAGAAGTAATTCCCATCTTGCTTCGAGTCTCGCGTGCTCCACATTGCCTCTTGTCATCAGTCATTGCACCTTGCTTCATTGTTGACTCGTGTAAAGTTCACAGCGTTGGAAAGAAGGTTTCATGTGCAGAACCTACGATGATGGTTATATTAGCAATGGGATAATAAATGGGTTGATTCGAACGTACGTACCCATTATCATGTGAAGCGGTTGAGTAATATTTGTCTTGAGGAAGTGTAGAGCTTTTGCTATCCAACACCGATACCAGCGTGATCCTAGTTCTCCTAGCACAGTTCTTGCAAGCCCCACATTTTTTTGTTTTTGGTTTTCTTCTAAAAGACTACAATGAGGACGTTGCATGAAGGAATGGTATTGGTATTCATATACATACTTTTTTTTGGGCTCTTTTGATCTTGATGTAATTGAATGCCAATTTGAATGATGGTCGAGATTGTTGAGCAGATTCAGCACGGCACCCAACGGCCAGGCGACTCTTAATCGGTGGTCGCACGGTGCCCTGTGACCCTGAACGACAAAGCGATGCATATCCTCCAGATTGGTCTTGATGCCATGGACATAGGTTTGTCGGCATGTTTGTTCTACAACATCTTATGTTAACACTTGCTTCATTTAGATCACCCAATCCACCAAGGAATACTTACTTTGATGTTTGTGTTTGTCTTTGATATTGCGCTGATTGAATGATTGAAGAAGTGAATGCGCATAAACGAGAGCCTTTGTTTGATTTGGTATGAGGTGCGTGGAATCTTGCAATTGCTGTACATAGGAAATCCAGAACCGATCGCCAGGACCAATGTGATATGGTAGGGGAATTCCATCATTGAATCTATCCAATGTCATTGTAAGTTCAATGGTTGCAAATCAGCCTTGGAATGGTATACATACGTTCTTCATGGCCGAGCTTTCATGTGCTAATGAATTTGGCTGCAATGTCGACCACGGTGGCTTGACAATGTACTTTGTGCCTTGTCATGTTGCCGATAATCATTCATGAAATTCGAATAATGGGAAAACGTCGAGAGACTACCAGTAGTTCTTGGATCGAGGTGCTCTTGTGTAGGAGGTCCATGGTTGAAATCCCAATGGCAATTCAGGTTGATGCTGTAAATGCTCTTGTACCGCCATACGCCCCATATTGTATATGAAAGGATGGTCTTCTTGTCAAAGTCTTGTATCGATGATGCTGAACTCCAATATAAAGCCCTTGTCATGTTATCATAGTTGCAATGTTTCGCCCATTTCAAAGCGTTGTGTTCTGAATCATGATCGTGCCACCGATAGAAAGAAGGTGATGTCCTGTTCATACGCCAACCGAATGTGTGCTGTATGTATTGATCATCACCAATATCCACCTCAAGGAATGCCAATAATGAATCGCCATGCCACCTCGATCAATTCAAAGATCTTGATGCTGTTCACCATTCTTCCCGAATGCTAATTGTAAAAGGTGCATACGCCACCACCGATTGAGACGTGAACGTAACCATGCTTTCGAAAGACATCGAAGCTCCAATAAGAGTTGGATTGTATCAATAGAACGCTCCATAAGGATGCTTGGGTCATGAGTAGATTACTCCACGAAAGCCGAGTAGGCATGTATCTCGAAGGGAACCATTTGTGTGCTTGCCATAATGCCAACCAATGAAGTAAACATGTGGCTGTGTCACCCATTTTTGCCCCAGGAATAGATTTTCCACCATTGCTGTCACAATATAAGGGCACGTTGTCCAGCGAATGCAGCCCATCATGAGCTTTGAATGCGCCACACGTCTCTATGGAGATGTGGGAGTTGATGCTTGAAGCAATCCTTTGCTGCTACGCGAATGCAATCACCATGCCAACCGATCTCTGAGTCTTCGATAGAAACGCGCCGTGATACGAAGCGTTGCTGATATCGTTGTCGATGGTTTTGAAAATGCCATGACAATGCATAGTAGTCCATTGTTGCTGTCATGCCCAATGTTTGATCCAATGGACGTCTGGTAACTCCACCTCCATCCAACAGCGTGAAAGAGAGCAACAGTGTCTTGAAAAGATGGCTCTCAGCTTAAATGTCAACGTGCGATTGTGTTGTTGCATTGACACTGCATGAATAAAAGCGAACATCGTACTCTTGCAGCTTGATTGCGTTGCGAAACACCGTGTACGAGAGCGCATGGCGCCATCCATAAAAAGAAGAGAACCCATACACGTGTCTCCATGACGATCGTTATCTCCAAAAGGAAATCGTGCTCATAAAGAGAAACGGGAGCCTGGTTCCATGGATCCATCGTAACAGACTTGCCACGATAATAACGGCACTCGCAAAAAGAAGAGTGCCCGCTTGTGTCTTGTCGCCATGGAAATCGAATACCCAGACGAGAACACCATCGGTAAAGAGAAACGGGAGCCTTGTGCCATGAACTCATCCCAATAGTTGGGCCACCATGATTCCGCCATCCTTAAAAGATGAAGACCCCCTTGTGTCTTTTCGGCATGGAAATGGTATATCCAAACGAGAACATCATGCATATAGAGGAAATGGAGCCTTGTGCCTTGAACCCATGATAATACTTGTACCACCAGAATACCGCCATCCATAGAAAGAAAAGAGAACCCTTGGGCCTTGTCGCCATGACAATCGGTTACGAAACGATAGCGCCATCAATAAAAAGAAAAGAGAACCCTTGGATGTGCCCAACAGTATCACCATAGGTTAAAGGTCCAATTCGGTAACGACACCAATAAAAAGAAAAGAGAACTCCTGTCCTCGAAAACAGCAGCCGCTGCCGATAGCATTCGCTCGAAAAGAGCCCAAGGCCTATTGCCAATAGATACATGCATTAGCATTTTGAAAAGAAGTACCCATTTTTTCTGGTATACATACCATGCCGCGTGACCAAAGCCTGTTCACAGGGACACCCCACAGAACCAGAAACAATATGTGGCATGTCATCCCAGGCACATCCAGCCCATGTGCGATGAATGAAAGAAATCGACATGCAGGTTTCTTTCCCTCCCACGGATCCTTCAGAGTCTTATCCTCTGCACCAAGGGCACCGGAACCAACGACGCCCAATCTCATCCAAGTCCAGCCTATGATGCCAATCATCCATGTCTTGATGTTCCTTTTCAAGTACCCACTTCAAAGATGATTGCCGCTTGTGCCAAAACATGATCATCCAACATGTAAAGGCGGTAGCACTATGCAGGGACACATCATGATAGCAATAACCATGATGGCCCCCACAACATGAAACGACATTGTGTGAGTAAAAGGATTACCAATCATAATGCAAAATACTTTGACGTACCTTCCATAAGCAAGTCCAATACCTCAGTGGGTAACATTGACAAATAGACCATGAGAGGACGTAGGAAAGCATGGACTTACTCATAGCTTGCTGGAACATGGGCAGAGATTGGACTTCTCGTTGGCTCTTACAGCACCCAAGGTAGCGTCATCGATGACCATCCAGATCCTCCCACCGCGAAACCTACATGCCGACTCTCTCACTCACCACACACGAGACTGAACGTACCTGAGAATCATCCATGCCTTGGATCTGGACTGCAGGGTATCCCATCCGTAACCAAAACATAGCCCCAAAACAGGGAGAGCACCAAAGCCAGTAGCGTCCAAAACGCAAGACACAGGGACAAAGGCAGCACTAACGACGCCTAAAATAGAAGGTAGTATAAGGGCTATTGTAATACATATGAGTGATGTAGCAACTTACCAGACAACTTCCCATTCCTGTTCATCGTCATTGTCATCTTCCTCTTCCTCCTCCTCAGCTACAGCATCCAGCTCACGCAACAATTGCGCAAGGGCAGCTGCGTCTTCAGGGCGCATTGTTGGCTGTGGCATGGGTGCTTGTTGTGCACCACGTGGTTGCGGACGTGGTGATGGTGGATGTGTCGTGTTGCGGATTGTGGTGGTGGTGGTAGCGGAAGAGATGGGAGTAGGTGTGAGGCGTGGTTGATTGGTGTTCATAAAGGGTCGAGGACCAAAAGCGAGTGTGGTGAGGGTCATAGGAGTGGCGGTATTAGTGGTGACAGTAGCAGTAGGATGGCGAGGCGGCGATGATGATGATGAGGTGGTATTCATAGGGGTGACATAACGAGTGCTGGTGGTAGGGATGGTGGCGGTAGTAGTGGTTGGCATAGCGAAAGAGGTAGTTGTTGGCATAGGGGCGGTGGTGGTGATGGTTGTTAAGGTGTTGCGGGTGTTCATGGTAGATGTGGCAGCCATAGCGGTAAGAACAGGAGAAAGGAATGTAGGGTCAACCTCCATTGGGATTGGCGTGGGTGATGGTGGAGGTGATGGTGGAGGTGTTGCGTGTTGAGAGGGAGGTTCATAAGGCATATCTAAGTAATTTCTATATGTTAGATATGTATGCAAACATAGGAGTAATATACCAATGTACTTACCCACATCAATGGGGTCGTCGTCATCGTCGTCGTCATCGAGAGAAAAAGGAGGGAAATCCAAGCCGGCGAACATGATGGAGATCACGTCGGGATCTAGAAAATACCATTCCATGTTAGTATATATATACCCCTTCATAACCATCCGATTGGGTGACAATAGCACTTACCAATCTCCATCACCTCAACAGGTTCCTCGTACCGGCGATCCAAAGGAGGTGCCATGTAGGCATCCTCGTCAAAATCATCACGCACGCTTAAGTGGTACATGAGGAATGCTATGTAAAAGTATATGTTAGTCGTTTGTATAAGAAACGAAACATGTTTATACGAAAGACATACCGAGTTCCTCATCATCCTCATCAACATCATCCTCGTCATCATCCTCATCATCACCATCCAAAGCAACATGGCCTTCATGAGCAGCAACATCAGCGACCACAGGACCAGGAACAACACCATCATGAGCACCAGCAGCAGCACCAGGAGCAAAGCCATCGTCGTCACGCAAAACGGGAACACCAACAGGGACAAAAGCAGCCTCAACGACATCACCAACAGAAACAGGAGCAGATTCAACACCAACAGAAACAGAGACACCTTCATCAGCAGCAACAACACCTTCAGCACCCTCAGCAGCAACTTCTTCAACACCAGAACGGGAAACACCATTAAAAGCAGCAACATCACCAGAAAGAGCAACACCACGAGAATCAGCAACACCACGAGTATCAGCGACAGCACCAGAGACAGCAACACCAGCAGAAGCAGTAACGCCTTCGTCATCAGAAACACCCACACGAGAAGAAACAACCACACCACGAGAGCCAACACCACCACGAGAAAGAGCAACATCAGAAGAACGAGCAACACCAGAAGAACGAGCAACACCAGAAGAACGAGCAACACCAGAAGAACGAGCAACACCGCGAGAAAGAGCAACACCAGCCAAACGAGGGCGAACAGACAAGTCCATGGTCAGGGTGGGACTTTCATCAACCACCCGACACACGCAACAACAATCACCGATAGCGACCAACGTCTCCAAGTAGCCAACAACAGGGCACCAAACCTGGTAGTAAAAAATGGCGAGACAAGACAACACCAAGAGAGGAAGGAAAAGTTCCAGCACCAGTAGGAAGGCGAGGTACAAAAGAGCAATTGGGATGAGCCAAGGAAATGCGAGAAAAACAGCACAAATAAGAGCACAGAGCAACATGGCAAAAGTGAACAAAAGTTGGAAAGAGAGGGGAGTTAATTCGTTGCGCTGGAAACGTCCAATTTAATACACGAGGCCACGCCACCCCATTTCACCCCATTGCACTAATGCATTGCCATGATCCTTCTCAATGGAGGTTCGAATCGGTAAACAAGTGTGTCTTTATTGTCTTTATATTGTGTGCTCATCAACTAGTATAGTTGTCATAGTGCCAAGGTGGTATTCTTAGGGGCCGTTGTGTTGTAGGCGCAGCAGGCCACCAGCGGCTATTCCCCCCCACACACAAATCCAAAGCTGGAGCCATTTGCCGCTTTCCTCTACACACTTTTACCACCAAACGCTATCGTGCTCACTCCACAAGTATACAAACAAGGTCTCTTGCGACACGATTCCTTTGCTACTAATTGAACTCTGCGCATTACGGTACGCCATGTCACCAATGGGGAGCAGCAATTCCGTTGACTTGTGCAACCTCATATGCGATAAAGCCTACAGTCAAACACGTAGACGTACTTCGTCGCTTGGTAACAAGCACGTTCTCTTGCTTTCTATTTGGAGTGTGGGTCATTTGAATAAGCAAAGGTAAAGCGTGTGTGGTTGTTGGCTTTGCCCTCTTTTCGTTAATACATCTTTGTTTTATAGTACTCCTCCACCAACATCAGCTCCAAATGGATGAAAATGTGGTATACAAGCAATGATCAAGGCAAGTATATTGAACGATGTGGCATTATTGGATCGCTTTATGGATAATGATGCTTGCTTGTGGGTTCTATACCATGTGAACCAAAAACCATAGAACACGGATTGCTCTTGTTAGTTGCTTGGACCAGCACGTTTCGGGAACCATTGGCATGAAAGGTTTGTATTCATATTGCTGCTCGTTGAGAAGGCTCAAGGCTACCACGTTGTTGACATCTTTTTGGTATACGGCATCCCTCCCCTTGTATGGAAAGGCCCCCACAATATCATGTATGGTCATCGTGATGAGAAACTTGCGTCAGCAGATGCGTCAAGCACAGTGAAGGAAACAAGCCAATCTCTGAATGAACCTTTCCCCACATGACGATTTGCTCGTTGTTTACACAAGGCACTAATGATCATCCTTCGCTCCAGTGGTATCCAATGGCAACCATCACACAACAACCCTTCCCTGCAAGCTGCTACAGTCCATTACGTGTTGTTATGAATAATAGAAATGCAGCATTTTATTTCGTTTTCTGTTTGCCCTGTGAATTAAAATATGGACATACCTTGCAATCAATACTTTGTGTTCTATCTGCTCCATGAGCAACTTTGAGTCCTACCATAGTCACGAATAATTCCTAATACCATGGAGGTTATGCAACATCCTCATCCCAGGTGGTCATAATGAACCTCATCAGCATGAAGCATGATGATGCTGTTGTATCCAATTACAAAAAGTTACTTGTTGAATAACGTGGGAAGGCCATTAGAGTAGATTCTTGCAAACCCACATGCTCATACAATTTTAGGATCGCGTTTAATCACCACCATTGTCGATCAGCTTTTGAGACAAAGCCGTTACCCTACTGAAATACCATATTTGGTGTAGGCCTGTGGCGCGGAATAATGAGTCTATCGCTGCCAGCCAAAGACTTATTTTTGGTCGTCGTCGAAAATAAAATTCAAGAGGTTGATCCTACCCGAGATTGGCTGGTGGTGAGAAACGCGAAATTTGGGATTGACCACCACATTCGTGAAACTTTTGCAGAAGGTACTTTAGACCAGGCAAGCAAGATTTTTCTAGTAAAGGGCCACATGGTTCATTGTGACGTTTTGAGTTATGGCTACTTGATGCTGTAAACATGATGCCATATGACCAGTGATCCTTGTTTATTGCTAAGTGGTTAGACATTGATAGGCAGAAAGAATCAGAAGGGCATGTTTGCATATCGCACATAGATACTCTGGTACTTGGGGTCAATAGGTGTTACTAATTTGCATTATTGAAGTACCTCACCAATTGCCAGCTCATGGCCACTTTCTCCCGACCCTGCCTGATTAGGAGATCCAGTGCATGTGAACGACGCACCTACTCCAGACATTCGGCTTCATAGTTCAGTTCCCTATATAGTATAGCATGCTCATCCATTGCCGTTCCAGTTCTCTCTTTTTTGCTTTCGTATAGAAACATGCAGCTCTGCTTCTCTAGCTCTATTACGTTGAAGCATGTTGAAAATGAACAAAGATCACTTTTCATAAAGCATCATGTTTGCAGCATTAACATGGCCATATCTCAAAATGTCACGATGTAACATATGGGCTTTTGCTAGAACAAAGATGGTCAGCGTGCATGAATGCACGTTGTGAGAATGTTTCAGGTTCGAGGTCAGTAATCTCAAATTGGGCAATGTCGCCACCAGTAAAGCTTGGATCGGATCAACCTCTTGGATTTTATTTTCAACGACGACTAAATAATTTTTTGGGCTGCTAGCGAGATTCGTAAATTTCAGATTTCCCATCGCGACCTTGAAGCTGCCATACAACCTGCTTTTGACTATTGCGTACAACGTTGTTCTAGTAAAGACCTCAATGCTTCATTGTCCCATTTTGAGTCACGGCTATGTTTATCCTGTAAACATGATACCAATATGAAGAGTGGTCTTTTTTCATCCTCAATCATCTAATTCATAATAGAGTGTAGGTTGCAGCTGGATATGTCTTGTAGCTACATGGACAAGATGGTGAGATCATGTGGATGTGCGATGAAAAGAACATGTGACGATAAACTAGTCGTCTGTAATGACGTTAAAACGCAGGTGTAGATAGGAAATCACGTGCTCGTGGTTACATATGGAAACCATCATTATTTATGCGATAGGCATTGGGCATAGCGAAGGTGCTCCTTTATTCTTTAAACCTTTTTTACATGCAATACCATTCAATCATGCTGCAATCCTCCTCTATGTGGTATAACGTATTCTATCCTCGGTGCAGGGATCTTGCTTTTATACGTTGTACCTTATATAGATGAGCGCCCCATCATTCATTCGGGCACCTCTTGAAGGGTAACAATAGTAAAACATGTTGCCATGGAAAAATTGGTTGCGTCGGCAGCGGGAGCGGTGTGTATGTTGCATTCATGTATGATTGGCAGTGGCTAATTTATTTCTATGCCCTTGTGTCAAAAGGGGTGCTTTGTCTACTCAGCTTCTCCTTGCTACTTCTTACCCAGACCTCACAACAAGCGCGATCGTGGTTCGACATGGGAGCCCCTCATTAGCCAACTTCATATGCGCAAGCGTGTCAATGAAGGTGAGCAACGTGTTGATAGGCTTGTCCTTGTTCGCTGTGTATACTGATATGGTTGCCTTTTCACACCTTTCTTTTTTCCGGAATGTCGACAATTTCAAGATTGAGGAGGAATGTGGAAAGAGATCCTGTTCAAGAAGGGCAAAGCGTGCACTGGTGATGGGGTAAGTAAGACGACTGGAAACGTGTGTCGCAAAGGGATTCATTGATGTGCTCTATAGGCGTGCTTCTTGTACTCAATAGCAGCAACCTTTATCCCACGATGGGTCACGTGATGCAAAAGCAATAACAGAGCATGGGAAGATGTTTCGACTTTTCGAGATGGTATGTACAAAGAGCAGTGGTACTGAAGGCAAGGGAGTGGATCATAGGAGGATGATTAATGGATTAAAGCAGGGTCCTCAAGAATTGCCGTCATCATTGGATTTCTTCTTTCCTGGTGATGTGGATGCATTGAATGGGATGGGACCAAGCATTGGCATGCGCACTGTAACAATACAAGGCGTAATGCTGATACGTTTGCTCTTCGTGGAAGGAACCTCAAGACCATACAGCAACGCCACGGATTACATCCATGGTAATCGGATCATGGTGCTACACTGTGTGATTAGATATACTTTTCATTGGTCACTCTTCCAGGTATGCGTTCAGGTGCTTTGGAATTTGTTTCTCAAGTACTAAGGCATGCCTATTTAGTGATTCGCTTTTGTGATCTTGATGGCGGTCGGATTGGGCAAGGATTTCTCATGCTTTGCATGAACAAAGGCCTCGGTACGTGGAATACATAGGGGAGGGAAATGCTTGCAAAGCAAACAGTGGTTACTATTTCAAGCTGCTTACTGTATCATCATCTTATTCAAGGCCCAATCACTGCATTGGTTGTTGAATCGGATTATTTCAGCGCAAGGGATCCACCAAGAATAATGGCAAGCACCATGATATCGTTTAGGCATCCAAGTCCTGTCATGATCGAGTCTCCATATTCCCTTCATGTCTTTGCCACCAATGTATTCCATGAACACTACTCCAAATGCTGTGCATGTCTTGGTTGTCCATCGTATATATGGATCTGAGCAAATACACTACAATGGCGTTCCTTTGGGTGAATGAGGGAGGTTTAATGATGGGAATCTTGGGATTTTCTTGTTTACGGAGGATGAAGGTGGTATACATTGACCGAATCCGGATCCTGTACGCGTTCAATCACGTAACGAGCGAAACGGTATCAGCTTCTGGGATTGCGAGAGCGATGGATGAGGTAGACTAGTATCTTGCTAGCTGTATTCGGGTAGCCACGTATCGCATCAAAATAAAAATTGTCATATGGTGTCCATGTCACGATAAATGTGGATTGAGGAGCATAATGCATGAGAGCACACATTTGAATACGCAACGCTTTTTCATGTATCATTCATATATGGTTTCTAATCTCCCAATGCACAGCCAACACCGATCAGCAGGTGCTCGGAGGGGGTTTCTGATCTTGCACATTTAGTGACCTCTTTGAGTATCAAAGGATCTTTGCTTGTTGAATGATGACGAAGTGAGAGAGAAAATTGGTCGAAACACTGCCCCTCGGACACATAATAATCATGCTACAGTATCCTAACACCAATGGATCACCATGCGCCTGATACTACCAGATGCAGAAACCATGGTTTTATAACTGTAGACAAAATTTCAAGCAAGGTTGACTTGTAGAATAAAGAGAAAATAAGCAAAAACAT